GCATTGTAAAGCAGGGAAACAGTCAGTATGTACATGATCTTCATCTAATTTTCTCTTCCATAAGAGCAACTTCTTCTGAAACCTAGTGATTTTATCTGCCAGTTGCAGTATGTGAGTATTGTTTCCCTGCAAGGACTTATTAAGATCATTTAATTTTTGAAATATGTCATACAGATATGCCAATTTTATTATAAACTCTGTATTAATAAAGTTTTGCGCATCATTGTGTGATTATGTCTGTAGATAAGTATAGAACTCATTTCGTAGTTCGTATACACGTGTGAGTACATTGCCTTTGGACAACCAACGAGAGTTGCAATAATAAATTAAAAAATGTATGCTCGGCACCAAATTCTTTACAAAGCTTATGGAAAAATCTCGCTTTCACAGATCGTGTTTTAATGTAGTTCACCACTATGATTTTTTTTTATAGGAGAGGGGGCAAACGAGCATGCGTCTCACCTGATGGTAAGTGAATACCGCCGTCTATGAACAACTGCAACACCAGGGAGGGAATTGCACATGCGTTGCCGGCCTTTTAAAAAGGAGTACGCTCTTTTCTTGAAGGTCCCTAAGTCGTATCGGTCCGGAAAATCGCTGATGGTAATCGATTCCACAAGGAAGTCGTGCGAGGAAGAAAACATCTTCTAAATCGCACAGTGGTGGACCGCCAATCATCCAGGTGGTGTGGATGGTATCGGGAGTTCTGCCGCGATGTGCGTTCGTGAAATTTGGCGGCTGGGATTAATTCGAACAATTCCTCAGAGCACTCCCCGTGGTAGATGCGAAAGAAAATGCAAAGGGATGCAACATCTCTTCGCAGTGCCAATGAATCGAGCCGATCGGAAAGGACTCGGTCGTCGACGATTCGAGCCGCTCTGCGCTTGATGCGGTCAAGTGGAAGGAGCTGGCACTGGGGAGCCCCTGCCCAGAGATGGGAACAGTATTCCATGTGAGGCCGAACATGCGCCTTGTAAAGTTGCAGGCGGTGTACCGGCATGAAATACTGTCCCGCTCTGCTGAGCACGCCAAACTTTTTAGAGGCCAATTTGGCCTTCTCTTCCAAGTGACCACGAAACTGCACGTCACTCGATATGTCGACTCCGAGGATTCCGATACTGGCTGAGGCAAGAAGGGGAGTGCCTTGAAACTGAGGAGATACGACAAAGGGGTTGTTTTTAGCGGTAAACGCGCAAACTTGTGTCTTCTGAGGATTAAACTGGACTAGATTTAGTCGCCCCAATCCGAAACTTTGTTCAGCAAAGACTCGACTTCAGGCACAAGTTTGTTCCGGTACTCGGTGACGTTTTCCCGAGAAATATTGGCACGGCCGGTGTATAGAGCATCACCAGTGCTGTCATCCGCATAGCAATGAATGTTACCAGTTAGCAACATATCATTGATACGCAGAAGAAACAGCGTTGGTGATAGCACACAGTCTTGTGGAACACCAGCGTTTATAGGCTTGTAGTCGGAGCATGCACCGTGTACAACGACCTTGATGTTCCGATCTGCAAGGAAGCTGGTGATCCAATCGCACAATTTCTCGGGAAGCCCATAGGAAGGGAGCTTCGAAAGAAGCGCTTTGTGCCAAACCCGATCGAAGGCCTTCGCAATGTCCAAACTAACGGCCAACGCCTCCCCCTTCGACTCTACTGCCTCCGCTCATCTATGGGTCAGTTAGACCAGAAGATCACCAGCTGATCGACCCCGACGAAAACCGTATTGGCGGTCACTAATCAGCTGGTGACCCTAGGTACCGCATGAGCTGGCAGTTAATAATGGATTCCATTATTTTGGAGAACAAGGAGGTGATCGCGATAGGCCTATAGTTGGACGGGTCTGAGCGGTCGCCTTTTTTAGGGATCGGTTGGACAAAAGCTGTCTTCCATGAATTTGGGACTACGCCTTGGGAGTAGGAGTACCGGGAAAGACGCGTTAGGATCGGTGTCAACTCCGGAGCACACGTCCTCAGCACAAATGGGGGGATTTCGTCAGGCCCACTCGACTTCTGGATGTCCAGGGAGAGCAGTGCTTTGCGAACCGAGCGCTGTGAGAACAGCACATCCGGCATGGAGCACTCAGTGTTTTCCCACCGTCATCAAGAGTCGAGTTGGACGCAAAAAGGGAGCCTAAAAGGTTGGCTTTGTCTTTTGCGTCTTGGGCCAGTGAGTCGTCTTCTCTGTGCAGAGATGGTAGTGATGGCTTACAGAAATTCCCTTGGACAGCCTTGGCGAGAGACCAGAATGCACGGGTTCCCGAAGGAAGGCGAACTAGTTTCTCGCCAATTCTGCCTATGTACTCTGACTTTGCCTTGGCAATAACTCTTTTGAAGGACCTGGAGGCAAAGTTATACTTCTTTTTAAGTGTGCTGGTTTTTACATCCCGAGTCGCCGAAGCCGCAGCCCAGGCTTGATAACACTCCTGTTTACTGCGTAATGCAGTCTTACAGGAGCGACCAAACCAAGGCTGAGATCTGCCTCCGATGGGTACCACAGATGATGGAATAAATAGTTCCATTCCTTGTAGCAACACATCAGTGACAGAGTCAGCAACAGCGCTGGGATCATCCGGCGAGAAGCAAACCCGCCGCTATGGGTAGGATGCAAAGAAAGACCGCATTCCGTCCCAATCCGCCGACCTGTAATGCCAAACACGGCGGCAACCTGCAGAACGCAACCACGAGGGGACCGTGATTGGTACCACACTCCGGATCAGACAATGGTCCGAAGAGCCGAGAGGGGCATCGACGGAAACCCGATATCCGTCCAGATGAGAGGTCAGCAGAAAATCCAACAGGATACAACATAATTATATCCATCACAAAATTTAATTCTGGTGTAATTTTCTTTGCAGCTAAAGCCTCTCTATGTATGACACAGTGTGTCCATTTTACATTTGGAACCTTGGTTTTGATGAGAGCTTGTAGTCTTCCATACTGTACAGACATCGCTCGAGCACCATCCGTATACACACACACACAGTTCTCCCATTTAATATTATTTTCAATCATGTATGATTTTAAGATCTCAAATAGATCAGTAGAATTACCACTTTCACAAATTTCTCTGCAAAATAACAAATCCTCACACACATTCGTTTCTCGTATGTACCTCACGTAACATATCAATTGAACATCGTCATTACTATCCGTCGCTTCATCAAGTTGAATGGCAAATAAGCCTGAAAGTTTCTCCACAATTTGCTCATTAATATCTTCTGCCATGTCATGAATACGACGGCTAATCGTATTGTTTGATAGAGGTACATTTTTATTTCTTTAGCCGCCGATTCTCCAATCATCGCTGATACCATATCAACCGCTGCAGGTAAAATCAGTTCCTCAGCAATTGTATGTGGCTTCTTACATTTGGCAACACGGTGAGCTACCTTGTAGGAGGCAAGCAATGCTTTGGTGGGAACTGATGCTCTTGAAAGTAAAGCCGTGGACTGATGTTTCAGTTCTCGCATTTTCTAACAAAATAGTCTCTCGGCTTACCTTGTAAATTGCTGTGAGTTGTTTCCAAATGACGTTTTAGTTTATTAGGAAGTATACTTTCAGCTGCCTACACTTTATGACAAACAACACGTTGAGGAAGTTCTACATTCCCTTTAGTAATGTAGGTAAATCCGAAATCCAAATTTTGGTCGTATAGGTTTCATATTTGGAGCGTGGCGCTCATTCCGCTCATTCGACTCGGTCGCATCGACACAGCCAATCTATAGACGCGTCACGATGCCCCTGGGGTAGAGCCACGACGCCCCAGGGCGTCGCGACGCACAGTTAGGGAAACCCTGGACTATGTAATTACAATCATAATGGCGGCTGTACACGCTCGTCGAGACACCGAGTACGAGTGTGTACATGGTGGCCTCGTCGCATCGCGTCGCTTCTCGCGGCCCTCGTTCGCTTTCGAAACCGTGGTTTTTTGCTCTCGAGTCAAAGGGTTTATTGAGTCTCGCGATGTAAACGAGAGTTCCAGTTGTGAGCGGAATTGCTTTTTTTAAAGGTATAAAAGTGAGTATCTGGACGTTTGAATATGAGCCAAGTTCATCAAGACCATATGAACTGAAAAGCCTTGTTACATATGTGTTGAATATGGTGTTTAAAATAAATTCGGTGTCAAGATCATAGTGATCTTGGATCTCTAATAACCAGCACTTGTTTTAATACTGTATGTCATAGTTTATTTTTATTAGCTAAAAAAAATATTTTTCTTGTAAAAATATTTTTTCCATCTTGAGAAGCTTATATATAATTTGTTATCAAAATCAGAACAATATTGAGTGAGATTAACGATACAGATCTTGTTGAAGCCCACTGCAAGAACGTCATTATTTATATGTAAACTTTTGTCGCCGGCATACAATAAAAAACAGACTTAAAAATAGTTAATAGTGTCATTAATGTACATAGTAAATAAATAACCAATAATGGCCCTAATATAGAGGCCATGAGGCACGCCTTTACGGTTTTTGAAATCCGTGAAATACCATTTGAAATCTATTAAAATATACTGTGAACTATCTTAACAACTTTCTTCCATTAAATTCAATTTTCTTTGATTTAATGTAAAAAAGTAATTAATGTATTTAATGTAAGTTAATCTAAGAAATCTTCTAAGAAATAAAAAACTGCGGTTGCCCACCTGCCTACTAAGCGTGGCAACTATGATAATCCATCAATCCTATGAGGCAATCTATAAAGGAGACCAATGTTGAGCAGGGGACTTTTAAAATGCTTAAACGATAACGGGCTTTCAAAATATTAATTGCGGTCATAATAAAGAATTGGAAAGAGAATTATTGCGATTTACGAAGACGTTGAATTTGATTGAATATACACGAAACATTACATTATTTTAATTATTTAACAATTTATATCAAGGCAAGGTTAGTTTTACAACTTTTTCCAGCATATCTATTAATTTATAAATCAATCAAAATGATGAAGATATATTTTGAAATAGGAACTACTTGCTATGCTAAAACAAAATTACCTCTTCAGGTTCGACTTTGATAAGCTTATGCGGCTGCTCCTCCTGACGCCATTCGGGATCCTTTATCTCGATGTGTAAATGATGGAAACTGCCTCGTAAATTAGACAGTGTGTTTAACTCTGAAATATATATATATATATATATATATATATATATATATATATATATATATATATATATATATATATGCGAAATCATCAATTTTGCTTAAACAAAACTCAAGTAAAATAATTAAACCCAGAAGATACTCAACAAAAGCAGAATTAAGAGGATATCCTAAGTGTGTTTAAACCATATAAATGTAACCCCCTGTTTTCTCCCTTAATAATGACTCATGTTTTTACCATACTATCTATACATGCCACTGCCGTTTCTGTTTTGTTTATTTTACATAACGCAATTTTTAAAACCTTTTTAATTTACTAAAACCGCCCAGGTAGCCTGCCATTATTAGACACTCAAGAAACAAATTTAACGAATATAAAAAAAATTAAAGAAAAACATACATTTTTACGAGGTACAGCCACGTTGCAGCTTATTATGTTTATACGCTGAAGGAACATGCTCTCACATAATACCAAAAAAAAAAGCAGCTTAACGCTGCTGTGTTTCGTATGGTGAGTATAATGAGCTGTGATCCTTTTTACTGGAAATAAGGCATTCCATCTTAGTACAGAAACAGGAGAATATGGGATATTCGGTAAATTCATCATAGGTGTCTTATCCTGAGTTGCAGTTGTCTCTCTCTAGCTCTATCGTTCGGGCACAGCATGACATCAATAGATCGTTAAAACTTGTTCTTCAAATTTCTTGCCGCCCGGATATCTTTTTAAGAAAATATTAACATTTCCTGAAATTTAATTACAAAAAAAATATTTAAAACTATTTTAGGTTTCGAAGCTAACCCTCAATTATGAATCGCAATCGCGCGTTCCTGTCTTGAACCAGGCCAACCTCGCGCTTTTTTAGGTTCATCAACTCGTCAAACTGCTTGTTAAACCATAACCTTAAGTTCTGGGTGTTCAACTGGAAAAATAATGTTTTATAATTAGAGAAAAGGCTATCGTATAATTAAAAAAAAAAAAAAGGTTGTGGGTCTGACTCGTCCGTCGTTCCGTTGCGTAGGTGCAAACGGAGGTTATGGTGGAAAATGTGTGTTTCAACGAGTTATGTATAAGGAAAAATAGTGAGAGGATTTATACTTTAAGGAGTTCTTTAGAGACCGTTAAGGAGCGGATGGCGGTTGTGGATGTGTAAGAAAGCGTTTCGGAACTCAAAGGTCATGAATTTTAGTTGGTTGGAGTACAAAATTCGTCCATGCTCCATATAAAAAAAAAATATGTTATACGCTCGATAATAAAAGGACTGTCATTTCGCTTCGCAATGCGCTTTAACTTTAATGATCTACGATTTTTTTTGCCACGCTACTTTTTTGGGCGACGTCACTTAAAAATAAGATATTGCACCTAATTTTTACAGATTTTTCTTTTAGAGATTTGACAGATTTCATAGCGGAGAAGTTACTTTATTCGAACAATATAAAAGTTAACGTTTCTTTCTGTACTATTAGGTATAGTTTATATTAATTGGATTCAAACCAAATAAATCAAACCACAGATATTCATAAAAGTAGAATAATTTAAAAAACAGAAAAATGTAAAAAAAATTAAGAGCAAACCATTGAAACATTGTTTTGTGTATTAATACAATACTCTAGAAACTGATAAACTTTTATTTAAAACTAATTTCTCATGGTAGAGCCATGCTGCAGCTATATTAGTAGTACTAGCTGTGCCCGCGGCGTAGCTCGCGTATACAGGTTTTACATAAACAATTTGTCGTTTAGGTAAGAGAATATTAAACGATTTATTTCATTACTGTATCAATAAGTGGTAACAAAATAAATCATTATCATCAAAGTTCTAAATCATTTATGATAGAGCTTCTGTGTAAACGACGTGAGTAGCAGGCTTAGCCGGGGTGTACACTAAAAGGTTACGGGGGCTACTAACGCGGGAAAAAGCAACATAGAGTTGGCCATGTGCAAAACAGTCAGTACTGAGGTACACTCCTACAACGCGTAAAGTTTGACCTTGCGCTTTATTTACGGTCATCGCATAACACACGCTCACTGTAACTGGGAACTGAACGCGCTTAAAACTGAAAGGAAAGTTACTTCTTAATAGAGGGTTTTTGGGCAGTGCTGCCAGATAAAAAAAAAACTAATTCAGCTCTAGGACAACACAAAAAGCGCTAGATTTCATGAAAACAGCGCTTTAAAAAAGCCCTAAATTTCGCGCTAAATTAACTACAAACAAAGTTTGTGTTTTTTTATATAATCATAATAAAGAAAACAACATTAAGTTTTTTTTCTGGCAATATTTTTTGATGTATCAATACTTCGCAGGACATCGACTTATAATTATGGCAATTGCTGTCAACAGTAGTTAGTACTGTACGAACAATAAAAATGTCATTAATTGTTTTAAAGTGCAATGTATTTCGCAACTTAGTTTCAGATGTCAGCATCTGATTGCGGTTGCTACACAGTTTCTTTGTGTTATAACTTCTAAGTAACTTTTAACTTAGCTGTGCTCTAAGCAACTGACTGAAACTGAATAAAGCAAAATAAATGCGTTGTCAAAACCATGAACAAAAACTTTAATAAAGGGGTTTTCCCGCTTATAGTCGTCGGTAAAAAAATCAAGTTGATCATCCTAAAGGGGAAGCCAGGAGATCCATAGCACAGGGTATCCTAGTTTGGACTCGTCTCCCATGCTCTTTGTTTTGTGGAAAAAATATGTTTGAAAAAGATAAACTGCAATGTACTATTTGTGGGAAAAAATAATAAAGGTCATTATTATTATTATCGGTAACGTGGACTAACAGTGCTGCTATAAAAGAGTTAATAACCCGCTAGTCGCTAAAATATTGAAATGTGTGCTAAATACACCAAAAAGCGCTGGATTAAGCTAGGTGCTAAAATTTCGAAATGCGCGCTATACATTCCAAAAAAGCGCTAAATCTAGTTCCCAAAGCGCTAAAGTGGCAGTACTGATTTTGCGTATATTATAAATACAATATCACGACATTTCGTTGCAAAATTTTTATTTTTGGTCGGATTCCGTTGTATGGCTTCGATGGATACAAATTTCTTCAGTAAGTTTCAATACGATTCATCGGCGAAAAATCTCAACACAGCAATTCAGAAAAGTTTGTAATTTCTACAACTCCATCTATTACGTCCTTTGTGTGAGAAAACATCCTTTTTAAATCTCTTTTTTGTGTTTTAAGTATAAATATATTAATTATGGAACGTTTTTTTTACACACAAATCTTTTTATTACTATTTCTGAGATTTTATGGCGCCATTGAACAAATTCGAACCTACATTTCAAAATAATAATCATTACTTTCGATAGAATTAACCAATTTTAATAAAACAAAGATTAAATGTAACTCGAAGATACGCAGATGAAAATAAAAGATGTTTACTTTAGACGTGATGCGTTCATATAATAACAGACAAATAGAGAGACAGACAATTCTAAAAATTATAAAATGTTCTTATTTAATTATTTTCAGTTCCCCATAATGATTTTAGCCACCAAAATATATACCTATACAATGTACAGAAAGAGACACAATATGTTATCATCATTTTTATTATATGTATATATTTAAAGAGAGATGGCGCTGCTAACATCAATTCTAAAAATAAAAGAGATTAATTGACGCGATTGATACATTATATAAAACGCAAGAGAACTTATAAATCAGTGCCTGCACAGTAAGCAAAAAATAAAGTTTGACTCTCGCCAAAACCAACGATTTGTTAATAGCTCTTTTAAAATTTGATTTACCACATAGAGTACTCGGCGGTAAAGAATAAATTGAGTTTGTCAACACGCAGTAGGGCAGCGAGTAATATAATAAAGATTAGCAGTAAATATGAAAACTCATCTACAGGAAAAAAAAACATTGCAATTACATTACATTTTCACAACACCACCATCTATCGAAGAAATGGGAAAACTATTGTGCTTCAGATTTAGTTAATAAGGTTAATATATTTTTGTATAATATATTTAATACGTTTTTTAATACTTTTGTTTACTGCGTTTTAGATATACATAATTATATCATTATTTTACATAATTTAACTATGATTTATGATATGATATTAGTTTAAAATGCACTTGATGACTCAAACAAAGCCACCGTTGAGCAAATTCGTACCTATACTTCCCTACCCATACTTCAGAATATTTATCATAACTTTTGATGGAATGAACTGATTTTAATGAAATAAAGACTAAATGTAACCCGAAGATACACTTTATAATTTCCTTAACAATTCTTATGATATAAATTAGTACTTTATACGTGATACGTTAACAAACAAACAGACAGACAGACAGACAGACAGACAGACAGAAAATTCTAAAAATGGTAGAAATGTATTTAATTACTTATTTTTAGTACCCCTCAATCACTTTTATTACAAAAATATAAAATGTACAGACATCTGCCATTTACAGTTTTATTATATGTATAGATAATTGTAGCACGAATGAGTCGACTCGATCCGGGGAGGACCACGCTCTCACAGAATACCATCGTATAATAGCAGCTTAACACTGCTGTGTTTCGTAAGGTGAGTGTAAAGAATCGAGGACCCTATTTAATGAAAAAGAGGCATTTTATCTTAGTCCTTACGGGTGACAACGGATCTGCATTTTGATTCTTTATTGAAGATGAATATAGATGTCTATGGGTTACAGTCACCACTTACCATCAAGTGGACTGTGTGCTCGTTTGTCCCCTTTATCCTATAAAAAAATACAAAAGACATTGCCTCAGGCTGTGGTTTGCTCTTTGACTTTTTCGACATTTCAACTCTTTTTTTTAAATTTTCTGCTTTTATGAATATCTGCGTTATGGTTTATTCACTTTTAATCTTATTAATCTATATAAATAAAACGATAGAGGTTTGCAGTTGTGCGCGCTTCACGGAAAAACTACTGGATAGATTTCAATTAGGTTTTCTAAGTTTTATTTCTTAGACACTAGGCCCTTATCGAAAATTATTGCGATATCTTCATTTAATATAAAGTTATTAAAGTTCTAAGAAACAACAATTTTTATACGAGGTTTTTCACATGGTCAACTGTACGTCCACTTGCTCTCGCGATACTAACCCAGACAATTTACCTAGTCAGGTCATAAATTCTGTCACATGTTTAATATAAAATAATTGAAACAAGTTTATTCATTATTAACCATTTATATACCAAAATGAACTTAACAAAACGTAGATTCTTATGACACTAAAGTTTATTTAAAATGACCTCCGTGATTTTGAATACAGGCCTTCAATCTGCGCGGCCAGTCGTCTATCGCAGCACGAACGAGGTCCATGTCAATATCGGCGGCTGCCTTAATCAAGGATGTCTTGAGTGACTCCAAATTGGGATGAGGCTTTGAGCACGCCTTTTCCTCCAAGTGTTGTCATATCTTGTAATCTAACGGATTCAAACCTGGACTGGAGGAGGGCCAGTATTCGTGCCGGATGAAGTCGATTTCACGCGCCGCCAGCCAGTCTTGTGTGCCCTTCGCTCTATGAGCTGGCGCCGAATCTTGTTGGAATACCCAGTGCCTGTTATTGAACATGGTATGAGAAACAGGTTCCACAAGGTTCGTCAGGACTGTATTTTGATACACAACTGCATTCGTTTTTACACCTTTCTCACAAAAATGTACCTCTGTTAAGCCCCAATAAGAAACTCCCAACCATACCATGAGCGAGGATGGAAAATGACCTCGTTGGACACGCGGAATACGGTTGCTGGCTTCTTCACTACTGTGTGCGTACACCTTATCATTTTGTTTGTTGTAGCTCTCTTCTACGGTAAAAATTTTTTCATCCGAAAAAAGAATTTCCCGATATTTTTTTCCCGCGTACCGCTTCAACAAAGCGCGGCATCTCTTCAGTCTCAGGTCCATTAGACGAGCATTCAAACGATGTCCTGTTTTTCTTCGATATGCCCGAAGCCCTAAGTCTTCATTTAACACCCTTTTCACCCTGGTTCTGCTTAACCCCATCTGAAGGACCAACAGTTTCTGCTTACGTTTGGGATTTCTTTGAATTCGCGCCTTCACAGCTATTATCACTGCTGGAGTCCTAACAGACCGAGGGCGACCACTTCTTGACCTGTCATCTACACTAGAGTCTTCATTGTATCGTTTTGATGGTACGATAAACGAATCTTTTGGTTATATTCAAATTTTTCAGTATGTCAAAAATTTGAATTGGCGCGTAACCGCAACGATGCAACGCAATAACTCCAACACGGTCTTCTTTAAGCGTCCACTCCATATTTAAAAATGAGTAAAATTCTAAAAAGTATACAGTTTTATTTTCATGAACAATTCGAAATTCGAATTCAATAAACTTTTTTGTGGCCAGCATTCTAAAAGAAAAGTTTTTACCGTGTGACAATACTTATGACCTGACTAGGTATATATTTTAGCTACAAACGGGACAACGAATAACATTGTATACATAGAAATTTTGTATGCGATCTTCTTGATGTTTTATCCTTCGCACATACGAAAACTTTCTTAATATATCAAGCAACGCGGACGAAGTCGCGGGTATCAGTTAGTATAAAATAAAAGTAATAGTATAGAAAGAAACATTAATCTTTAAATTTCATGAAATTAACTTCCCCAATACGAAGTCTGTCAAATATTACAACGTATTTTTAAGTGGGTCGCCCTGGCAGAAAAAGTCGTGGACGCCTTCACTGTAATACGTTGGCGTGCTGACCCGGGCAAGGTGCTGGAGCACGATGACGTGCAGGAAGCTGTGGGCGAGCGGCTGCAGCAGTCCGCAGGGCGGCGTGTCTAGCAGGCGGCGCGTGCGCGTGCCCGCCAGCGCCGCGTCGCAGCCGCCGCCCGCGCCCGCCTCCTCCTGCGCCCCGCCCCCCTCCTCCTGCGCGCCGCCCGCGCTCTCCGCGCCCCCCTCGCTCCCCGTGCTGGCACCGCCCGCCGCCGCCTGCCTCCCCGAGCTCTTGCGCATCGACACCACCGACACCGGACGTCTGCAACTCATACACTCTTTATGTCGCTCTACCACGCTGTAGCTATATTATGGTGGTAGCAGGTAGTGGTCGGCTCCACCTGGGTAAGATCACGCTCTCACAGATTATCAGCGTAAAATAGCTTAATGCTGCTGTTTCGTATGGTGAGTGTGTAACACATCTATCTGCGTTTTGATTTTTAATCGAGGATAAATATAATGTATGTACTAAGCCACAGCATCCACACATCAATAGATGGATTGTGAGCTCGTTTGTTGCCTTTATTCTATAAAAAAAAAACTTCGCTTTGCTGTAGTGTTGGAGTAGTTTAGTGACGTTTTTTATAGTTATAGTATAAGGTGACAAAAAAGCACAAAGTCCACCTGATGTTAAATAGATACTGTTACTGTGGCTTTTAGTATATACCTACATCTACATTTATCCTTAACTAAGAATCAAAATGCAGATGAGTTGTCATACCTGAGGACTAAGATGGAATGCCTCGTTTCCAGTAAAAGGGTATCCGGTTCTCGACACTCACCATACGAAACAACAGTATTCTGTGAAACCCAGCTGGAGCCGACCCATTCATACTACAACCATAACATAGCTGCAGCGTGGCTCTACCACATTAACAGTACCGGAGCTTGTATCACGTATGTCAATGTTTCAGGGCCGAAAAACCACCGAAGCCCAGAATATATATGTCCGGCTGAAATATCTTTCCATAAATTAATGCCAGTTAGATAAAAATAATACCTAACTGGCACTAATTTTTGTTAATTGCAATTTGAAGTACCGATTTACCGCTCACTCGGCGGTGTAGGAATATATCGTAAGGAAACCTGCATGTATAAAAATATGTCCAGGACATGTAATCACACGCTAGAGCAGAGGAGAGCTGTGGCTGGCGATGAAAAGTTATAGACTTTACTTTTACTTTTAATTTTGATACGAACTCTACTAAAACAGGCTACAACATGGTTTGGGTTTCGAATTTTTTTTCAAACGCAATGGGATATCTTTCTAATTGTTCAGAATGCGCTGAACATAAGGAACCTTGAATATTAAAATATACCACAAATATATACAATATACAATATAGATCACGACCGAGTCAGTATTGAATTGGCGATATAAGCGAATACTTCGAAGCGAAATAACTGCAAACTAAAGTGATCAGTAGTACAATTGTGTTTTATTATTAGTGTGGTTTTAAATTGTAATTAGTGTTCCGTAATTAAAGTGTCAATTTCGGTAATTCACTCGGCAGTTTTAGTTGTCTCGAACCCCAAGCTCCTAACAATATATTGTAATATTAAGCACAATAATTAACTGTGTAGTGGCTGTGTAAGAATACCCACTACCCCTTATCATCCTTTGAGTGTCGTAAGAGGCGACAGAGGGAAACTGGAACAGGTGATGGGCAGCAGCTGCAGCATCTTCCAGATATTTTCTTTATTCTTTATTCTTTTAATCTTTTTCAAAAACGTTACCCCCACACTAGGATATTCTCCTATGTCGTGAAGGCAGCTTACAAACAAAAATTGCACGAGGGCAAACATCCAGACCCGCAACAATTATTTGTATGCCAAACAAATACTTGTTACGTGCGAGATTCGAACCCGCGGCCCCAGCGCGACAACTCATTGTTAATCACTGCGCTACGGAGCCGTCAAAACAACTTAAAATTGCGGTTGCCAATCCGCACGCCAAGCGCGGCATATATGGCAAAATGAGACAATCTATGGGGGAGACCTATGTTCAGCAGTTGACTTTTATAGGATGTAATGAATGAATAGTATAATATTAATATATAATATTAAGTCCAATAATTACTGCATTTCATTGATTTCTACTGCTGGCGTGGGCGTATGTTCCTCCCAAGGTCTGAATACGTCAGCGTCATTTTCCATTTCCAATGTTCTAAGAGCCTCTATCAATTGCAGCTCTGGCCATACGTCGCGTTGATTCGGCAGTACCGCAAAGTTTTCTACCTAATCATAAAGAGTCATTGTGATAAAAAAGAGTAAGGAAAAAGAAGTAAACAGTTATAACGACAACAGCACAATCGTCAACTGGCAAAGGCCGACAAAGTGGAAATGTTTATTACAATATTAGTGGATTTGAACAACAAGTGATATAATTGTTTGAACTTCAACAATTATTTTAAAAATCAACAGGTTGTGTGTTAGTTCGTCACAATATCTTTGTGTCTATATATCATGTCAACGCAACAATACTAAACTAGCATGAAGCTATGTTTTTTTTTATAATGCTAATATACACTACAACGTAAGTGTTACATATATACATAGTAGTGGCTGAAGATGGAGAAGAGCTTGATACGCGGCGTTGCCATGGTGTCCCAGCATTGACTCTTAATCCATGTTGTCACTTTGTCTTGAGCTCGAATGCGAGCTTCCGTCTTCAAACGGATTTCCTCGCGTTCCTTTTCGGCCTGAAATAAAACAGATTGGCTTTACACATCTACATACTTATATTTGATGGATATAGGATCTCAATATTTGTAAACCATAGAATTAATTCTATGTTGTAAACTAAATCAGAAACGATTATGTGCTTAAGTCGTTATTAACGTATACGTATGTTTTGCATTATTTCTGCAATAATGAGTCATGTTGTAAACTTTTTTATTCTGATAAACAGCTTACAAAAAGCTTGCTGTTTGAGCGTAGTTTAAAATTTCAAAAGTACATTAGTGACCAAATAAAGATTCCTTAGCAAAATGGATATTGCTGCTACTGAAATTTTTTTGGCTAGTAAAAAAAATTATAGCTTTTGACGATTTCGGAAGAATATTTTTAGAAAGGATGGAATTGTTTAAATTTTAAATAATTAATAATATGTATATTTATTGAAATAAATTTATAAATGTTAAATTATCTCTTGCAATTTTTATAAATGCATCTGTATTTAAAATGTTAAGACAACCTTTAAATTTTAGGGTATAATGGATAATTATGAAACTGAAAATGTTTTAAAACAAAACTATTCTAAAGTGATGTACATAGATGGTGTATAGGGGGGCACGGCAGTGCTCCCGCCAAGTCGAGCGGGAAGCAAACACTGCCGTACAATCCTTTACTGGAACCATTTCGCCGCATTTTCAGGCCCCTATTTGAGAACCTCCGGATAAGACCAGAACGCAGAAATCGTCATCCAGTAAGCTATAATCACATACTTAAAATCCAAAATTTCAAGTCTGTAGGTCATTTAGTTCCGAAGTTAAGCGAAAGCAAAGTTTCGCATTTATGACACTCACTCGCTCACTCATGATCATCAGAATAGAACCAGTACTTCCCATAAACTGAGAGAGCTGAAATTTGGTACAGAGTTACGGTTTCATGTCCACATAAAGGGAAAACTATAAAAACTAGGATAATCGAAGATCTTGAGTACCTGGTGATCCTGATTAGAAAACACAAGAGCCCAACGAAACTATTAGCTTTCGTCTTAAGGCGTTTAACTAAGATAACGACTCTTAGCGTAACTATGTCTGCTTATTATGGTTACGTCGCGTCTAATATTAATTATGGTCTGGTTCTGTGGGGCAACAGCATTGAAGTAAATAGAGTTCTCATCGCAAAAAAAAATGTATACGTGCTATATGCGGTAAGGGTCCATTTCATACATGCAAGCTTCTATTTATTAAGCTGGGTATATTAACAGTCCCTGGCATGTACTTATTAGAAATATATAAATTTGTCAAACAACATGCAGAGTTATTTAAGTCAGCTTGTGATATATATTCACGAAGCACTAGAGATAGTAAACGCCTTGTCTTAGGCCATAAACCAAAAACTTCTGTCTATGAGAAAGGTTGCTACTGTACGTGTGTAAAAATATTTAATAATATTCCAAAGCAGTTCAAACACGGCTCTATGATTCTCACGACCAAAAAGTTACGTGAATGGCTAATAAAAAAATGTTATTATAGTGTTAAGGAATATCAAAATGATAATGATATGCATGTTGACATATGATAGACGTAATTGCTGTATATCACTGCGTATCACTATTTTATCAGACCTTTATTTTTGATTGAATGTATTCAAATTTTAATATGATATTGACATAGTAAATTATGACATTTTGAATTATATAACTTAAATTTAATAACTTGACATTTTGGAATCGACTACCACCTATATTATTTGGTAACTTAAAAAAAGGTTCTGGCGACAGATTGGTGCAATGGTGTCCTGTAGCACCTGGTTTTGTACCCTTGTGTACCCTTCAACGACCAAGTCACACAACATTAACTATAATAATAAAGAAATCGCAGTAAGGAACCTTAGACTTGGCACGACTTTGTCTAGATTTCATTACTTTTTAGAGATAAACAAACAGCTCCATCGAGACTTGGCTAGTTTTTTACAGAATGTTTTTGGTGGGATTGAGTTCTTTCTTTTAGTTTATGGACTTATTAAAGTGTCCTAATTTGATTACAAATTGTTTTATTTAGTAATATAAACCCATGAGATCATCATCATCATTATTACAGCCCTTCACAAGTCCACTAGGTACTGAACGTAGGCATCTATAAGATGATGGACATTAAAACAATTGATACCGGGTAATATTTACCGAAATAGTTTTTTTAATAATCGTAATAAATTAATGTGCACACAGTCCGGTCGGCAGAAAAACTGTGACCAATAGACGTTTCTATTGAGTCTTGTTAAAGGATCGCACAGTTTTATTAATAATAATTAATGGACTCTTGTCCTATAGTAAATAGTCTTACTAATTACGATATTATTTTCTTTCCCTTTCGTTCCCGGTCAGTTTGCCGTAGTTTTTTCCGAGTCTATTGTTTTACAAGTAAAAACACTATTTAATGGCAGCGGTGGATAACCATATAAAAAGATGATGTAGATGTGTGCACTGTGAATTGGCGTTGTGTGAATATCCTTTACCCGATATCATCCCGTGGGTGTCGTAAGAGGCGACAGAGGGAGACAAAGGGTCTTCCTAATAACGACTAAAAATAAAAATCTACGGTTGCCAACCCGCTTGCCAAGCGTGGCAACCATGGCAAATATCCTCCCTATGAGACAATCTACGGTGGAGGCTCAGGAGTGGACTATAGTAGATATCATCATCGTAGTCACCATAAAACGGCAACGGTAGACGGTAGTGTGTCTGTGTCTGTGTGTCGGCGTGTCACGTGCCTGCTTGAGGCGCTCGTTGGTGCGCTCGACGTGCAGCTGGAAGCTGGAGAGCGGCAGGCGGTGCAGCGGCGGCGCCGCCAGGTTGCGCTCCAGCAGCGCCAGCGCGCGCTCCTGCACGGCCTCGAGCGCGCGGCACACCTCGGCCCGCTGCCGCGCAAACGCCAGCGTCTCCTCGCGCACTCTTCTATCCTCTACCACGTCCAAGTAGTTCTCTAAAACATTGCCCACTTCCTTTTGTAACTTTATATACAATTTTGACATTAAACGTCTTCATCATCTTTATTACAGCCCTTCACAAGTCCACTGCTGAACACGCAAACACGGTCCTGAGCCACTTGCATCGATCAACTTCCTGCATGTCGTACAAGGTCGTCAGTCCATCTAGAGGGGGGACGCACTACACTTCGTCTATCAGTACGAGGCTGCCTTAACCTTTCTTCCCCATCGGTTGTCGGTTCTAATGCGTTGAAACGTCTTAGATTCGTTTAGGCGATCTGCGAAAACTAAAACATATTCTAGCGAGATCGCTTCTATCGTTGAAACTTACAACTTGGCAAAATGTACTACGTAAGTGTGTGTTTCATTGCAAGGTAAAATCTAGCAAAAGCTCGTGACTAATATTGAAACTTAACTTCGGAATATAACTTCGCGTGCGAAATTTATATTAATTACATTATTTAAGTATCCCCAAACCATATACACTCCGCAGCACGTACAAGTCGTTTCATAGGTACAGACTATCCTGTATATTTTTTAACCTATTTTCTGCCGACTTCCCAAAAAGGAGACGGTACTCAATTCGACTGTATGTTTTTTTATGTGTGTTACCTCATAACTTTTTACTGGGTGAACCGATTTCGATGATTTTTTTTTATTTGAAAGCTGGTAGGTACTTCTCGTGTGGTCCCATATGAATTTGATCAAGGTCAAACCAATAGTTTTTGAGTTATTCTTAATAACTTATATTGAAGTCGGCTGTACAAAATTTTTAATTTTAAATTATAATTCTCTTATTCTCTCTGTTTTTTCCAGTGCAGGCACATACACACGTGCCACTCATTCGTATTACGATACCAGTGCCCGATGTGATTTACGCGATAAGTTCGGTTAAACTAAAATTATGATATACCGCACCGACATATTATGATATGTTCAAGTAAGGCAATACTTATAATCAATAAGCTATCTTAATGCGGCTGCACTTTGCATTATCATTCTTCTTTATCATTATCAGCTCTTAAAATTACATTTACACTGCTGGGCATGGTCCTCTCCCATTATGCAGAGGCTTTGTTTAAGCATCACGCTTTGGAAGCGGATTGATTTTAACATCTACGTTAGATGGTTTTGTGACCAGGATTAAGAAAGGAATGCTTCGGTGGTTTGGTCATGTAGAAAGAATGAATGAGGAAAGAGTGACAAAGCAAAGGACAATGTCCAGAATCGCCCTGTGTAATAAGAACATTGGACATACATGATAATTAATTTTCTATTTTATTATATTACTTGCAAATACTTTTATATCACGGACTAGCTGCATGCAAAAATGAACATTAAAAAGTATTCTACTCGACTAATAACATTAATCGCCGCCATCTTCGCCAAACATCATGTGGTGTCGAAAAATAGGGATATTCGATATACATCGATGCATCGAATTCACTCGATGTTTACAATACGATGCATCGAACCGATCCGATGTTTTGGAAAGCTATTGATATACTCGATGTATCGATGTATTTTCATAAAACATCGAATCAATGATAACCAGTCAATTGTAAACAGGTATACTTATCTATCACTATTAATATTATAACTTCTAAATCAGAAAAACTAAAACATGCTCTGATTTAGAAGTTATAATACTCGTATAAACCTGTTGGTGACGCTAGTTAGCGGCTGTCAGTCCATTAGCGGAATCAAGAAATTGAGATTGGCTGGTTGTGTATTAAAGAAAATCGTCTGGTCTGTCTCGGTCTTAAGGCGGCTTCTCACTTTCGTGCCGCAGGGCAATCTAGGACGAACAGCGATCGGGGCAATATCAGAACTGTCTCTACACACATGCCTGCCATTCTATGTGAGAGTGTACGTCTCGCTGGAGACACGCGTTGAGAATGGCGCTAGTTTTATCAAAATATAAATGAATCGGTAAATATAGGAATGGCTCTTTTTATATAGAATAAGGGTGACAAATGAGCACAGTCCACCTGACGTTAAGTGGATACTGTGGCCCATAGACACCCATATTTATTGATAAAACAACTAATTAATTAATAATTACACCAATAACACAGTCTTTAAAAGCTGCAGTATGACTCTACCACGTTTAAAAACGTTACGACGTTCAGATAACGTTCTTTCTGCGGTGCTACCGCAAAAAAAAAAGACAAAAAGGAGATACTGGGTGAAGAAGCCGCCTCTTTATACACTTCTATCACCAGTGTCCAAATTTCATATTTTATTGGTATTCATTATGACGTGTGCTGCATGCGAAAGTCGCTTACGAACTGTTTGAAATTGCCCCATGTGGCGTGGTAGCTATGATCTAGGGAGCAAGGAAGATCTTGCGCCCATGTCGCTCTGCCGCAGGGCCGACTTAGTAAATTGCCCCTGCTTGCATACACACATCACAATTAAGGAGGCAATTAAGGGTCATCCCCACTCCTACACCCTAGATTGCCCTTGCGGCAGGCAAGTGATAGCCGCCTTAAGACCATTTAACCTCAGACTCATCTCGCATAATTATTCCCCTCTGCCAAGGTATTGGATTTAAAAGCTTGTGCGTTTATAAAAACTGCTTAAGAAATCGATTTTATTATTACATGAATCGTTTCCGCCGAAGTAGGTGCTCTTCAAAAAATACCGATCGGTGCGATCATAAAGCAGTCAAAATACTTAAAATTTACAAAAGATGGAGTTATATTCCATATGTAAGTATTTTTATTGTGATGCATGCTTTCTTTCTATTAAAATCATTTAAAATAATATCGTAAACATTGACCTACTACTAAATGGACCTCGGATCTGCTCTCAAGTGTCCGAGTCAAAAGAGTTCCAAAATGCAAAGAGAGTTGCAATTGCGCGCCAGTCTTCGTTTTGTCGATTGATAATACACTCCAAAATTACTGTATCACAAAACGAGAAAAACTATTTATATCTATATATATTTTCGATAAGGACTATTTTAATAATTTAAAAGTAAAATTTTGCTTAGACACAACGTACGTAGTATTTAAATTAAATTCACATTAATTGTAAAAACAAAAAATCAATCCGATAATTTTCGCTAGAAGCTGCATAAGATGAAAACAGCTTCTGGTTGTAGTTGAAAGGCTGCTAAATTGTCTCAAGTAAGATTATATATAAATAATACGTTTTTATAGGTTAACTCGGGACACATTTTTCGTGAATTTTGTTCTAGAACCGCCGTTTATTTAGTAGTAGGTACAATGACTAATGACCATTAATAATAATTTATTTATTCTTTATTACATTCCTTAATATAAAATAATACAAAGGGCGAACTGAAAATGTGTAGCAGAATAGAATAAAAACAAAATAAAAAATAAATAACTAAGATATATATACATTTTACTAATATATAAAATAAATACATACAAATATAAATAGTATATATAATTCACTGGGAGAGAATGCCTTAAGGCATTGTGTCTTACATCCTTGAACACTCACATACACACACTCACACACAACGCCTGCGGACAAAGACAGTGCCGATGTAAGAGTAGATCATTCAAAATTGTCGATTGTTTGAATGGGGATGTCAGGAAGTTGACTACAGATTTATAATGTAAAGTCATAAAAAGTACTCGATGTTGCAAAAACATCGATGTTTCTAACCGATGCATCGAAATATATCGATGCACAGTCTCGATGCATTACATCGAAAAAAAACATCGATGTATTTTCAAAGTGGACACCCCTATCGAAAAATGATTAGGGATGCCCAATCGATTGTAATCGATATTTGAATTTTTAATCAACTGTTGCATATTTTTTAATCTGAATTACATTTTGAATTTATTTCAAATAAAGTTGCAAAAATAAGCTACAATAAAAATGTTAAATTACCATTTCTTTATATTATTATTCTCTAAAATTATAATTTAAAAAACCTACTATACCTAATGAATGAGGTCATACTCGATTTTGAATAGGTAGTTAGAATAATGCTGAAGTAAAATATTCGTAAAGATAATTATTCAGGATTTTCTAATGACCGTTTAGAAAGGCATGTATTTTACGTCTTACTAAACAATAACTTACAAGTTTACGACAATTGTTATAAAAAAAAAACACTTATCGATACTGCATTAATTATAAATGTGTTCTTTAAAAAGAGCAATACTAGATACAGATATTATTATTAATATTGTTACCAAATTGTTACAAGCATGGAAGAAGTAGAGACGTACGTGTTATTATAAGTAACGTATGATATTGTCATACTTGTTATGGTATATTATCGTAGGACAAAAGATGATGTATGTAATATTGCTTGTAACGTAAGGCTATAATAAATCTAAAATAAAATATTCATAATATTGATAATTTAAAATGAAATATTCATACATCGTTTGACGGCTCCGTGGCGCAGTGGCTTAGCAATGAGTTGCTGCGCTGGGGGGCGCGGGTTCGAATCTCGCACGAAACAAGTATTTGTATGGCCTACAAATAATTGTTCCGGGTTTGGATGTTTGTCCTTGTGCAATTTGTGTTTGTAAACTGCCTCCACGTTACAGGAGAAAATCCTAGTGTGGGGGTAACGTTTAAAAAAAAAGAAAAGAAATCGTATCGTATTTAGCGCTGCTATTGTTGATGTCACTAAATGGTCACTTGTAACTTGTCAGTCTCTCATGAAAAAATACCATCTCCAAATCGATTCAAATCGAACATACTAAAATCGATTCTCGATTAAATTAAGCATTAACAGATCTATTTTTGATCAATCGCGCCATTTTCAAACGTGCCTAAGATGGACACAGAATATTATTGACGATAATTTACCGTAAATACAAGTAATTGTGTAGAAATATTATTAAATTAATAAACATAACATCACGCCTGTATTTCCCAGAAGGAGTAAGTAGTGTAGTGTTGTTATACGTCCCATGTAATAGGGGTTGCGCGTATCCAAACACCGGACAGAAACCCAGGCTTCATGCTACTACTGAGAACTTCAAGTTATAAAAACCCCATAATAATTTGCCCGACCCTGGGATCGAACCCAGAACAGAACAGTTTTTCTGTCTGTCTCAAGAAACGGATGTTCCAACTATGCAAAAGTATTTCCTGAATCGTTTGAAATATAGCTAGTTCTTGAATAAGTCCGATTCGAGAGGTTTTTGGATCGATTTATTGAATGGATGGAGTGTTCTAAGTCGATATCAGGATATCGGACAAGGATTCTTCAGATATATATCGATCTGGAAAATCGATTATTTTACTATAAACAATCAATTAAACGATTTCATATCGACATGCCTACTTTGTACTGTCATCTCTCACTCTGTCAAAAATACATTGGTTGGCGTCAGGCTGGTGCAACTTCCATAGTAAAAATTATATGTACTACAGGGGTCAAATTTTAATGACGGTTACTCTTCTTTATGCTTTTCGTGATATGTCTATTAACGACATTGTCAAATGAAATAGGTTCAAATGTCAAATCAAACAATTATATTTGTATATATTTTATTAATTAAGATTGCTTTTAATTTTGCTATAGGAGCCGTTGTTCATTTACAGAATTGTTAAGAAATTAAATATGCATTATAAAACTTTCCAATTAAATGGTGCAAGAAGCGGAAAAAATGATAACAAGAAAAGGCCATTCGTAACAATATTTCCCTTAGATGATGAAAGGTATGTGGTGATTTCAACTTTAATAGTAATATGATATTCAACGCGAGTATATTTTTGGACTAGCCATCTATGTAGGACATGTTTTTATAGTGTACGATTGTGTGCACAAAAACCAACACACTATTTCCTAAATCTGATAGTTCGATGGTTTAGCAATCCGAAACGAACTATACTTAGAAACTACAAGTCAATTCTGACTGCTAACATTCTATTTGTTCAATAATAATGTGATTTTATTTATATTATTTTTTCAGATGCAAGCAATGGGTGAAATAGCTGGCACATGCGCCAATTGAAAAGATTCACATGTTAAGGACATATTTGTGACAAACATTGCATATGAACCGAACTAAAACGAACTGTTATTTCTTTAGTGGACTTACTTTAAACTTCCACAATTTATGTGTATGTTAATTAGGTTTGATTTACATGTAGCAAAAGATAATATCCCTCTAAAGTCACATTTTGGCAAGAATTAGATTAAATAACTAAATCATTATTTTATTCATCAATAAACATTAGCTATAATGAGCACCTATTTTGAAAGCGACAATTAGTAAACGATCTCTGCGAATAGTATGTACATAGGTGCCTCTGTGAAGAAACCTAGCGATTTGTACATAGTATTTGTTACACATAAAAGCAATTTAATCCAATCAGTATTAAAAACCCAATATTTTTACCCTTAAAAAAACTAACGTTGAAAACAAGAATCCAGATGCAGACTATTTATTTACAGCTATTTATATACTATTTATATACAGCATAGAAACAATTGTTCAGTGCGGGAAGGAAGCCTAGGTCCTGCAATGCCGCAGCCAAACGCTTAGCCACTGCGCTACGGAGTCGTCATTTATTTTTTACTTAATTAATTACTAGTATAAAAATGCGTTTTTTTATTTTATATTTTCTTTATACATACTTTTGTACCTAATTATAGATATATAAATACAAATTGCTGTGTGTAAAATACATTGATTTCTTATCCTCATCGGCATTTTTACTCAATCCACACGTTTATTTCTCATAAATAATTCAGTATAGAGATCTAACTTTTCTTATGTAAAAATATCGATAAACAATATATCGATAAAGGTTATATCGATAAAATTATTCGAGGATAGACATTTACAGCACTATTGTAATTCGTCAATGTTGTCAGCACTGTGTCTCAAAACCATAGACTTTGTATCTTACAATCTACGCTCAAAACTAAATATCATATCTTGATGTTGGTAGAGTAACTTGGCGTAATTTCATGCAATTATTTTTACTATGGAAGTCCCGCCTCTTAAACGTAGTGATTATATTCTCTTTGGTTGGCGTCGTTAGCTCTTTGTAAATGTATCGGTGTTTTGGTGACTTTCGGGACTATAATACATTGAACATTACGACTTGGCTATTTTAACGGACTCTGATTTCTTTCAAGAACGACTTACCTTGCTGTGATTTTCGGAACTGTGTACTGCTCAAACGATAACCTAGCATTCATAAACGGATTTACGCATACGCAATGGAAAGTGTATTTTGTGTAAATTGCGGCTGTGCTGGTGGTTCAATGTTGTTAAAAGATGAACAGTTGCAGCGCCCATGCTATGACCATTATTTGGTACTTGAGCTTTACGAGACATCAAAATAATATCGACATCCCTGCACAGTTATTTAGATAATATTCTAATTTCCAATTTAGAAGATGAACAATAAACATGAAATTAATCTGTGTTTTATTTCTAATTCAAATATAATAAGTTAATATAGGTGTAAAAACAACTTATACTACCAATTAGGTAGGTACTAAGTCCGTAAGGCAGGTTTTATAGCCACGCGTTTGAACAGCGCCGTCCAGACGCACACGCTTGCAAATGCACCAGATAGTAGTCGATAATAGTCACGCTGTTCAAGCGCGCGCTGTTGAAACTTGGCTGAAACCTTGGTTGATACGCTCGCTCTTTGACTGCATGTCTAGCGGCGTGACTAAAACCAGCCTAAATCCTTATACATTTAGGTACCAGTTATCTTACCGTACCGTATATGCTAATGACAACATCTAAATGCTAACATCCATTATGTCTACATACGTATTTTTTTTTTACATTTGTACTCACAAACATTATCTCTCATTTCAAAACCAATGCTAAGAAAGTAGGTTTATTAACTAGATTCCATGCGTTTATACGTTGCACTTACATACACTTAATATTAAGAACAAAAACCTAATTATCTAGATAGGTACTAAAATAGCTAAATGTTTTAGGACATCGTATTTCAGTTTGTTAAAATTCACTCGGGGCTCGGAGCTATGAAAAACGGTAATATTCGTGGTTCGATTATAACCTCAAAATCTGATATTTTTTTGAAATATATTTATTATGCAGCTAGTCCGCTGTAAAAATAAGATAATATAGGAATTTACTAATGATCGACAGTAAAATACATAATTTTCCGATGCTCTTGGTTCTAGGCCGAACAATGTATGGGCGCAGAGCAATGTCCTTTATGTTGCAGAAGTAAACGGCAGAGTCGGGGAAGGGACACCCTAAGCGAAAGTTTATCGACCAAATTGGCGATATATTGAAAATGGGCCAAATCAAGAGTACCTTTAACCGACGAGCGTGTATACGTAGGTATGTGGATGTGGCGGAAGCGAGAGTGGTGTGCCAGGATCATGCCAAATGGAAGTCCATATTCTCTGCCTACCCCTCTGGGTGACAGGGGTGAGTGTTTATGTTATTTTATATTTTACCTACCTTAGCTTATCGTCATCGGTATAAAGGAGTAAATCATTTCTCCACCTATTGGAAGCCATAAGAATTTTTTGGCACATTCTCTACTCTTACGATACCCACGGTGCCATAAAGAGGTGATGGTTTTACATCGCCACCGCACTACTATTAATATGAATTTTGAAAATAAAAATATATTTTTAACAAAATCAAATATTATGTTCCTTTCACAAATCCAAACACCTTTAATTAGAACAGTGTACTGCACGAGAAGAGGTTGCATATAGAAAAGAAGGCATTATACAAATGGCGGTACATTCAAACGAAAATACTGTACTTTAATGCCAGATTGATGATGAGTAAAAGCATTAATATAATGTAGGTATAAGCTTTGTACTCATGTCGATGAGTGCATATACATACATACATGAACATACATGGAAGGGTTGCCTTTCACGTTAGGTGTGGAAGTGACACTTCCACAACTAAGATGAATCTAACAACAGCTCATAATATTAAGTTAAAATCCATCAAGCCATAGGATTGAAAAAGTCAATAATGATACTTTTTAAGAAAAAAAGGATTTTTTAAAATATATCAATACTTACTTTCACTCTCATTAAAAATTGTAATAATATTGGCAGCACCGTCATCAAAGAGGTTAGGATCCGGTGCATCCGTGTGAACATCAATGGACAATTCCGTTAAGAGTCCCTCGTGCTTATTGTTAAGTACCGTTACCGCGGCCGTACCGTTGCCGCCCAGATGCACAATGTATTGGTTGTTAGAATCTATCACGGCCTGCTCCACGCCACTTTCGTACCGATGTGACACTATTAGTTTTAGATCTGGCAAAAGTAGACAATAAATAAAATTATTTACTTTTTAATTTTTTATTTATTTTACCGCACAACGAACTAACCTGCACAATCGCTATGAATATTACAATGAAAACATATGTACAACCTTTATACAACCTTTTTTTGTATGATATGGGTGACAAACGAGCACACAGTCCACCTGATGATAAGTGGTTGCTGTGGGCCATAGACATTCTACATCTATCCTCGTATGCGAAACAAAATGCAGATGCGTTGTCACCCGAGAGGACTAAGATGGAATTAATCGTTTCCAGTAAAAACAGCAAAGTTAATCTGCTACTTTACGCTGGTATTCTGTGAGAGCGTGGTGTTTCCCCGGTCGAGCCGACCCATTCGTGCTACAACTATACTACTAATACCTTTAGCTGCAGCTTGGCTCTACCACGTAAAAAATTACAATAAATATAGTTTTAAAGTATATACTACATTATACAGCAATTGCACAGTAAAATGCATGCTTATTTCAAGTCTATGTTCAGCAGTGGACTTGAGAAGGGCTGTAATGATGATAATGATGATGATGAAACCTGGTACGAAACTGATATTCAATAACCTTTTTTCCTCATGTGTTGTCGGTTTTTCGAGCTAATTGAAAGCCTCATTGCCACTTCAACTTATTGATCCCTCGTGGGTGTCGCAAGATAGGACAGAGGAAAACTAAACAAGGAGAAGGGGAGCAGCTTCTTTCTAATAACATTTTAACAATAAAAACCTGTGGTTGCCAAACCCTCTGCCAAGCGTCGCAACTATGGCAGATTAATGGAACAAACCCATGTTGTTGGATGCAAATGATTTTAACTGCATGCGGTGTTACTTGAGAAACAAATATAATACCTAGACAAATAATTCTTTACTCTTCCATGTATTTAAAAAAATACAACATTACACACAACCACACATTAACCACAATTTCCCTTACCGTACTCTTCAGGAGCATCCGGTTTTCTTAAAATAACGGCACCATCGTAACCAAAAGTAAGCAGAGCATTGCTGTTACAAAAGGCTCTGAACTGCCTCAAGTCGTGTCCGGATTCAAATACCGGACCCATCTTCACAGACACGGTTATGCCTTTCTGAAATTACGAAAAAAGCAACTAATCGATTGAATTACATACAATATATCAGGATTAATTGAAAATAATTTTTACGGATTTTATCACGTTTAATTTAACTTTTTAATTCCCGACGTTTCGGGTGCCTTACAGCACCCATGGTCACGGGGGGACTGAGGTGTTTGACGTCCCGATGTTATAATTAGCCCGGCTACCTTCAGATTTTGTACATAAATTTTCGGTCCGATCTACGCATAATGAGCTTATAGTCTTTTGAAGTCTTGCAGTGGTATACTTGGGTTAGTTATTTTTCATTAAGTATAAGATCCCAAGCAGATGGCAGCAACCATCCATCTTCTCTATTGAAATTAGGATGTTTTTTAATTTCGCAACATATAGCTGACTTCCGATGTTCCGGGAAGTCTGCAGTTTGTGAACATGTTCAAGATCGTCTAATCCAAAATCCTGAAACCTTTCAGTTCGAGTTGCAAAACCGTTGTCAGTGCCTAGAAGATCTTACTGTACTATACTGTACACTGTAGTGCAGTGAACGAAATAAATGACAAGCTTGTGAAAACTGTCCATACGTTCGGAGCTAAGTTTTGCAAGACCCGCCGCAGAAGAACATAAAAACTCTCCAACCACACTCTTAATCTCATGCCTGTTAAACGGGAAATGAAACTGCAGTCTTCAGTAGATTTGATAGCATACAGGCAACTGAACAGACAGATCTCCAAATGCATGCGGCGGGACTTACGCAACTTTAATACGGCTGGTATTGAAGAGTCGATCGAGCGGAACCAAATTCTTTGCCAGAAATCTGTCTGCCAGAAAGAGCCAACTGTCTAAGCTGAAGAGCGAATGTGGCAGCATCGTTTCCGTGATACCAGAAATTTTGAGTGAGATTGAGAGGTTCTATGAGCAGCTGTACACGTCATCGTTGGAGCCGCACGCAATTGTGAGTAACGATCCAAGAGCAACTCTTATCCGACACTATTCCGATGATCTTCCGGACGTCTGTCTGAGCGAGATTATAATGGCTCTCCAGCACCTTAAAAACGGCAAGTCCCAGGCGAAAATGGAATTACAACGGAGCTTTTGAAAGCGGGTGGAAAATCAGTGCTTAAAGTCCTTCGGAAGCTCTTTAATTCCGTCCTCCATCACTACTCCGAAGGCGTGGAGCAGAAGTGCGGTGGTCTTGTTCTTCAAGAAAGGCGACAACGCTCTCTTGAAGAACTAAATACCGATTTCCCTTCTGAGCCGCGTCTACGTGCTGTTTTCGAGAGTCATTACGAATGATCTCGCATGCAGACTCGACGACTTCCAGCCTCCCGAACAAGCCGGTTTCCAAAAAGGCTTTAGCACAATAGACCACATACATACCTTTTTACATACATACGCAAATTGTACAGAAGACCGAAGAGTACAATCTGCCACTTTGTTTTGCTTATGTGGACTATGAGAAAGCCTTTGATTCCGTCGTGATTTGGGCGGTGCTGCAGTCCCTTCAGCGGTGCCAAGTTGACTGTCAGTATATCGAAATGCTGAAGTGTTTGTACAGTAGGGCTACGATGACTATCCGAGTACAGAACCAGAGTACGAAACCTATCCAACTGCAGAGAAGTGTAAGACAGGGTGGCGTATATCCCAGACACTCTTCACCGCTGCATTGGAAGACGTTTTTAAGCTACTGCGCTGGAAAGTATTAACGTCAATAGCGAGTACATCATTCACCTTTGATTTGCCGACGATATAGTCCTTATGGCATAATCGCTGGAGAACCTAAGCACTATGCTCAATGACCTCAATGGTGCCTCCCAACGGATAGGTTTTAAGGTGAACATTGACAAAACGAAAGTCATGTGTAACCTCCATATCATACCTATGCCGATAGTTGTTGAGAGCATTAACTTCTAAGTTGTTGAAGAGTATGTTTACATTAAATAGTCTGACTATGTAAGTCCAACTACGACTGAGAGGTCAATCGATGGATTCAACTCGGCTGGGCAACATTCGGGAGATTACGACACATGTTCTCGTTAGACATGCCTCAAAACCTAAAAACAAGACTGTACAACCAGTGCATGTTGCCAGTGATGACCTATGGATCTGAGACGTGGTCCTTCACTGCTGGCCGAATGAGGAAACTCAAGGGACACATCGAAACTGACAACCGATGGGGCATAAAGGTTCTCGAGTGGCAGCGTCGTACCGGCAGGCGAAGTGTAGGGCGTCCCCCTACTAGACGGAATGACGACTTGGTAAGACATGCAGGAAGCTAATGGATTTTTTTATAGGATAAAGGCGACAAACGAGCACACAGTCCACCTGATAGTAAGTAGTTGCTGCGGCCAACAGACATCTAAATCTATCCTCGATTACGAACCAAAATGCAGGAGCGTTGTCAGACGTGAGGACTAAGATTCGTTTCCTCGTTTCCGGTAAAAAGGGTCTCCGGTTCTCTACACTGACCATACGAAAAAGCGTTAAGCTGCTATTTTACGCTGGTATTCTGTGAGAGCGTGGTCTTTCCCGACCCATTCGTGCTACAACTATACTACTAATATAACTCTAGGCTCAACCACGTAAGCCTCGGATGCAGATGGCTCAGGCCCATGCTTTGTGGCATTCCTTGGGGCCTATGTTGCGGCAGTGGACTTGTGAAGGGCTGTAATGAATAATGAATGAATGAATGATAATGAAAATGATGAAAAACAATATCTTTTTTAATGTTATTTTTGTTGAAAACGTTTTGTTATACATAACGCCAAAATTTCGTAATTTTTAGTTGTAATAATATATTACGTCAATCACGCCCTCTCACTCGCGGCAAACTACCGAGCTTCAGTCCTCATATTGTAGAATCTTCTTATATTGCATACCTCACTTCTAAAAGCGGAAAGTTTCGTTTTGTCTTTTTTATTGATCTGTGATAGAAACATATTAGGAGAATCCGTGGCGGACCTTGGAAAATGCCAGAAATATACCATGGCTTCTTATAGATGGTGGAATAACTAGATCAACTTACCGATATTATCAGACTTCGATTGTTCGATCATCGCAAATCCTTTCTTCTCTACATCCAGCAGTGGACTTTTATGGGCTGATAATGGAGGAATCAAAGTGACAAATAAATTTACACCTGAAGGTAAATGATTTAAGCTGCCTGATTCATCGTGATGTCGTAAGAGATGACAGAGGGAAACTGTTATAATATTTGTAATAACATTATAATATTAAAAAAAGTGTAGTTGCTAACCCGCATCCATGTGACGGCAGATATCCTCCGATAATTAATGGAACAAAACCATGTTGATTTTAGCTGCATAGCTTTCGCGTGACACCATTCTTTGTGATTCTAAGTCTAGGTACAGACCTCGCCGGAGAGACGCAGCACGTGTAGGTGAGTGGAGAGGTGTGGCACTGCAAGCGCGCAGTCGCGCACCGCCAGCGGCACCACCTCGCTGTACGGCCCCTGCATCTTGCCGGCGAACTTGTTGTCTTTACCACTTTCAGCACTGATACACACTATTCGCTCCCCTGAAAATTGATAACAGTGTAGTTACATAAATTATAAGCATTTTGTTGCAGCGATGCGGGGCCACGGGTTCGAATAACGCACATAAATGTTTATATGGCATACAAATAATTACGTAGCTACGTTAAAGCAATTTTTTGTACGAAGGTTAACAAAGGTGATGAACTCATGGATTACCAGTGTAAAATAGCATGGTAGCTGAATGTTGCTGTGTTTTTTATTTAGAAGTTACTGTTTGTGTTTCGTATGGTAAGTAATAAAAGTTTGCTATCCAGGCATTCTTAACAAAGATAATTGAAAAACTATATAAAATTCTACCTATTTTATTTTGTCTGAGCCTACATTTTAAATAATATCTGTTTGTCCATATGCAATTTTTGTATGTATGATACCTACACTACCTAATGTGAGGTAACATTTTAACACGTTGCCTGCCAACTAAGAGTATACTCGTAGTGTATAGTTTCCATGTCAAATGCCACCCATACAAAATACAATCTACGAGTACACTGGCATACAACAATATACCCTGAACCATACGACGAGTATGTTGGTAGTTTGGCACAGTGCATACATTTTTCATGTTATTTGCCAACTACGTATATTTGCGTACTTCATTTTCGCACCAGTTGTGCGAGAGAGACGAACCTACCATTTTTATACGCCGTGGAACTCTTACTACATAATATGTTCTGTTTCTAACAGGAACGTGGCAACGCAGTGGCGTGAGCACCCTTCTCCCGCGGGTACTCTTACTCTTACGTTTTAATTGCCGTTAACATTTTTTTACTTGTATGATCTGGTTAATTATGGTTTCCTTGTATCGTGTAAACGAAAAAATTTGCTCGTTTGAGTTGTCGAATGATAATTCAATAAATTCCGTCAACGGTTGATGCAGAAGGGGCAATTAATAGTGATTCGTCAGAAAGCAATAATTCTGGCGCGCCGTTCAGTTCCAAGTAAAGGGTGAAGATAAGTATATAATATGACTCTCACAACGAGCAGGCAAACGATCAAAACAAAAAAAGGAAAGAAACCATTTAACATTGTTCTATTTACCCTGAAAAATCAGCGTTTTGTGTCGAAAACTGTTTCAAAGCTGTTACTTGTCTAAACTGAAAATACTGTAACTTGTTACTTTAAAAGTTTTTTAATTCTGATTTCTGAGTGCCAAGCGTGGCGACTATAGTAAAATCAGGAGGGATTTTGCTATAGTTGTATGAGCCAATCTATGAGGGACGCCTAGATTCATCAGTGGACTTTTATAGGTTCTAACGGAATGGATGAATAGATTAAAAACTCCTTCGTTTATTAAAGCCTATGAAAGTCTGCACAGCAGACAATAGCCTATCAATGCTAAGTGGCCGGGCAATGAGCGGCCAACGCTCCGAGTGGTAGTTCGGAGCTATTTTATATATACTGCTTTAATTTCGGAACTTTGTTAGCGCGATTTAGGCTTCGATGTGTTTCGCTTGTGGCGCGACGACAGCGCCGCCACAGATTATAATATTACCTAACATCGTAATAGGCTAGTTAGTCTCTCTTTCTGACTAGGGGGTAGTCTTTTTTTTCATAAAATTGAATAGACAAACGAACATACAGTTTCCCTGATGGTAGCTACTGCAGTCCATGGGTACCTGCAGCCAACTTCAAGCTACCAGGTGGTATTATACTGGCTATCTACTTATAATTATACATTCTCTATGACCTTCAGAACGGAACACAAATAGTGTACGTAGGACTACTATTTGTCGGCAGAATTAGGTAAGCGGGTGGTGTCTACCTAGACGGACTCCTAGGCAGAAAATGTATACTACCACCTTGTCTACATTGATACAACTCCCTTACATATTACATTCACTGTATTTTTGATTGATTGAGAGCCAATATGATTTTATGTGACAATCCCATTTTACTGGAAAAGAGGCACTCTATCTTAGTCCTCACGGCTGACATCTGCATTTTAATTCGCAAACGAAGATAGATGTATATGGGCCACAGCAGACTTATTCTATAAAACTTATTCTATAAAAAAAAGTCTCCTTTGCGAGTAGTTCTTACTCCTCGAACTCGCATTGGAATTTTAATTCTTAATTGAGGATGTATGTATTTGTAAGCCACGTTCATACCATCAAGTGCACTGTGTGCTTGTTTGTCACCTTCATTTGTATTAAAAAAAACAAGCTTATACTCACCTATAGAATATTTGTCTGAGAACAAGACCAGGTTGAAAGAGCGCATCGCCTCGCCGACCTTCATTAGGAAGCTGTCCGCAAGGCCTCGGCCTAACTCCGCGTACCTCACCAGAGTCAGTTTGTATTTTTCCGATAACTGATTAAAATATACATCAAATTTTTCTATCTATTCTCGTCGTAAGTCGTCGATCGTCGTGAACACTAACTATACGACTACTCCACAAACCCAAAGTCGCTCGAAGTTTCTCTGGTGGATAAGTTTCGTAACGAAGAAATCCACCGGAGAACCAAGCAACACAACTTTCCATAGCAAGCTGAAGTGGTAATTTACTGGTCACGTATTTGTCGCAGAGGCGAAAACCGTAAAAGTAGACGTATCATAGAGATGGCGTTTAGGTAAACGCAGTGTGGGACGCCCACAGGCTATGGAGCGGCGATTTGCGCAAGGTAGCAGGAAGCAACTGGATAAGTGAAGCCGAAGTTCAGGCTAAGAGGGCAATCGCCTTGTGAGAGGCCTATGTCCAGAAGTAGACTGCCGCAAGCAAATAATGATGATGATAATTGTCGTAATAAAACTTAAACTCGTTAGATACGAGATAATAATTTATTAATTAAACATAACATTTTATAGCTATCACTTCTCAGTTAAATGGTAGGCCTATAGTCATAATGGTGGTCGAAGTACGGGACGGTTCATTTTTTTTATAGGATAGGGTGACAAACGAGCGCACAGTTCACCTGATGGTAAGTGGTTGCTGTGGCCCATAGACATCTATCCTCGTTTGCGAATCAAAATGCAGATGCGTTGTCACCCGTGAGGACTAAGATGGAATGCCCCTTTTCCACTAAAAAGGGTCTCCGGTTCTCTACACTCACCATACGAAACACAGCAGTGTTAAGCTGCTATTTTACGTTGGTATTCCGTGAGAGCGTGGTCCTTACCCGGTCGAGCCGACCCATTCGTGCTACAACTATACTACTAATATAACTGCAGCATGGCTCTACCACGTACAACTATATTGATGCCCATATATTTGACGCCCAACTCTGGCCGTAGCCTCCAGACCATGAAGTTGTTAAAGCCTTCGTAGTTACAATAACGCTACACGGTTACGTATGTGAATGACGACAATCGAAAACAATCTTTATTGATAACGAGGCATTCCCTTTTAGTCCTTGAGAGTGATAACGCATCTGAATTTTCATTCTCAGTTGAGCTTAGATATGTATTCTAAGTAATTGAAGATAGTGCCGTCGTGTAGAGGCGGCGTGAGATAATCCACTACCCCTATCACCCAGTGGGCGTAGTGAGAGAAGTGAGTGAAGTGACATAAAACTGTTCCGAGTCTGGATCTTTGTCCTTGTGCAATTTAAGTTTGTAAACTGCCTCCACGATAAAGGGAGTGTAAGACCTTAGTGTGAGGGTAACGTTATTAAGAAAGAACAGAGAACAAACACAATAATCCATGGAATTATTTTATCATAAGGTGAAAAGTATGCGTGTTTGTAAAAAAACTTACTTCGAAAATAAATATATGTCCAGCAGACTTCGCGACGGCCACGAACTCCCTTCCCGTGGGGGAGAAGACAACCTGCGAGACGATCTGATGCGTCAGGCACATACTGCCAACCTTCTGAAGTCCAAGTTCCGGTTCGTAAGTGAACAATCCCATACCGTAGTTTTGTCCAACCTCACCGAATATTACGAGCACGGGGTCAACGGGACTGCACTGGAAGCTAATGTCGTTGCCCTCAACTTGTTTTCTAAAGACCTGAAAAATGGTTCAAAATATTTTATGTGTTGGCAATAAGTGGAGTTTAAGATCGACGATCTGGTAATAAATGCGGGAAAAGCAGGCGTGACAACGAATCTGCATTTTTATTCTTTGCCGAGTATAAATATAATCTAAATTATGTGTCTATGGGTCACAGCCTATACCACTTTGGTACCAATGGTTTGGGTCGACCGGGGAAGGACCGCGCTCTCACAAAATACCAGAGTAAAATAGCACCATAACGCTGCTGTGTTACGTACGGTGAATCTAGAGAACCGGAGGCCCTTTTTACTAGAAACGAGGTATTCCATCTGAGTCCTCAGGCATCTGCATTTTAATTCTTAATTGAAAATACATTTTCTTTATTTAATTTTTACTTCAATAAACTATCCAATTAATTCATATACCTTAATCTAAAATAGTCTACAATAACAGATACCTGAACTAGTATAACATAACTAACAAATATTTTCTGTTTCCTGTGACATGCTAACTAATTAGGGTCAATGGCATTCACGACTTGTTATGCCACCAGGGCGGCGCCACTTAATAGTGTGGTATAATATTTGACAGATATCATAGCGGGGTAGTTAATTTGTTCGAAAATGTAAAGGTTAATGTTTCTTTCTGTGGTATTAGCTATTAATAAGATTAAAAAGAATTATAAGATTAAAAATAAAAAACCACAGATATAATTTTTTTTGTTTATTAATATAATACTTTTGAAACTGATAAACGTTTATTAAAAACTAACTTCGCAATTAAATAACATTGTGTAACAAAAAACTTTACCTCAGTTTCAACTAGCGACATCTGGCGAGCAGAAAATTATTAGCCTTCATTTCAGTAAAATATATTATCAAAAATTTACTTAAAACAATCAACTACTTTTCCGTATCGTCGTATAATAAATTTTGTAAATATGTTCGAGTTACATTTTTACAATCTGCCAGTTTAATAGGTGCATGTAAAAAATTGCATTGACTTGATTATGATAATTGCAAAAGAGAATTACAAGAATAGAGGTAGATGTTTATAGGCCGCAGCATACATTTGTCTCCCTAGTTCTATAAAAAAAAGCATCCACTTATTTGTTGGACTATATATGCTCAATTGCCAGTCACCTTCACAGAAGTCACAAGTCACAGAAAAAAAAAACACAAAATCACAAATAAATCGAAGCAAAGTCTCTCTATTATTAAACATTGTTTCAAACTTCTAACGACAGCCACTATACATCAAAAGTATCTCATACGTGGTGGAGCCATGCTGCAGATATATTAGTAGTGTAGTTGTAGCACGAATGGATCGGCTCGGCCGGGGAGGGACCATGCTTTCACAAAATACCAGCGCAAAATAGTAGCTTAATACTGCTGTGTTTCGTATGGTGAGTGTAGAGAACCGGAGACCCTATTTACTGGAAAAGAGGCATTCCATCTTAGTCCTCACGGCTGACAACGCGTCTGCATTTTGATTCCCAAACGAGGATAGATGTAGATGTCTATGGGCCATAGCAACCACTTACCATGAGGTGGATTATGTGTTTGTTTGTCACCCTTATACTATAAAAAAGTAGAATATTTGGTGTGTTGGATCCTTTTTGCGTATTAAAGCTGTTTTCTTGCGATTTGATTACACATTACGTAGTTGCCTTAAACGCGTTTTCTGTCAAGAAATGCTCAGTAGCGGCCAGAGTCAGTCAGTCAGTTGGCAGTGTTTCACCCAACTTCACTTTGAAAGCACGTAAAGCCGTTGGTTCTGCGCCTGATCTCTCTCCGGTCGTGTCGGATTAACGTTCCATCGGACTATGAGAGTGAGGCAATACAGAGTGCAATCTAGCTTGCGCATACATTTAGGCACAATAATCCCGTCCCGCGCAGATGGCTAGTCTTCGTTGAGACTAGCTGCCGTGACCGATATTCGGTCTCGAGGATATGAATATTGTTACGTCAAAACGTCAAATTACTTACCAATTTTCCAGACAGCGCTTCATAAATACAGAGCTCTCCTGATTTATTCATTGTAGCCAAATGCTTAAAATTCGGTGCTATTAATTGAATTTTAGCAATGTTCCTTAAAGAGACATTTTTTTATAATTTTAAATTCGTAGATATAGGCATTAATGTGTAGTCGTGGATATACGACGGGCTGCAATGGTGATCATAGATAAATGATGAATTCGAAGCATGCTGGGTGTTTAGCTTTTATTCATTAACGAGCTGTACCCCGCGACTTCACCCGCGTATAATTTGGTTTTAATATTTTTGGGCGAAACCCTAAATCTCTTTCTAAAAGAAAAGTAGCCTAAGTTATTCCTTATAACATTAGCTATCTGCCAGTCGAAGTCCCGTCAAAATCGGTCCAGCCGTTTCGGAGATTAGCCGAAACAAACAGACAGACAAAATTTTCAAAAATTGTGTTTTCGTTATAAGTACTGTATATTATACTTTCATGTGCATTTAAATAAAACTAGTTTTACGGATTTTATCGCGTATATTAACTTATTTTATATTCCCGACGTTTCGAGCACTTTACAGCACCCATGGTCACGGGGGTAAGTTAATATACGCGATAAAATCCGTAAAACTAGTTTTATTTAAATGTCTAGTGTTTGCGTAAATATAAGAAATCATTACTTTCATATGCATTTAGTAAAAAGCTGTTGCTTTGATATTACAAACAGACACTTCAATTTTATTTATTTGTATAGATGTATAGATAGATTCAATACAGCCTATCAAAATTCCACTGCTGAACCCAGAATTCGCCATAGCTTGCCTCAAAGGGAAATCATGTTTGCTATAGTTGCTGCGATTGGCAGATTTGCAACCGCAATTTTTAATTATTTTAAACGGTTATTAGGAATTTTCTGCTGCGCATCTCCTGTTTAATTTCCCGCTGACGCTTCTTTCGAACTTAAGATACCCAAGGAATTATATGTGGTAGGATTCTCTTCTCCGTCATTTCACGCATTGCATAAGCATCTCGCTTATACACCACCATTAATTGGAACCTAATACTTTTTTTAAAACTTTACCTGCACACTAGGATTTTCTTATGTATCGCGGGGGCAGTTTACATTTGGTTTACATACATAGATTTCACAAGGACAAACATCCAGACCCAGAACAATTCTTTACAGGTCATACAAATACTTGTTCAGTGCGGAGCGTTGTAACTCATTGCTAAGCCACTGCGCCACGAAGCCGTTATAGTATTGCAATGAAAACCAAAATAATAGTCCACCTATGTTAAGTAACTACTGATACTCATGAACACCTGTAGTCAATATATAGCAACGAAAGCTGCAGACCTTGCAGGTGCGTTATCTAGTATCTATTGTACTGGCTCTCTCATACTTCACGGAATAAATTACAGTGCAGAGCAGTGAATGCACTGATGCCTTTCGGCAGAAATATGTAAGAGACTCATCTACGAAATTACGTATTTAGCCCTGAACAAGTGAAAATGCTCACAGCATTCACTTCATTGAAGATATAGGGCTTAGTCGTGAACTGTAGCCATAGCAGCGATCACAATAGATCTTACAGGTCGATAATGGTCTTATTACACCTGCATAGGCCTTATAAGATCATTCATCATCATTACAGCCCTTCATAAGTCCACGCTGAACATAGGCCTCCACCAAGGAATGCCACTATATGATTGTTTCTGTGTCTTGTTGTGTGTACATAAATGAATTAAAAAAAGACTAACTTTCTGGCAGTCGTCTCTTTCGACACTTAAGATGACGTGATAAACTTTATACTTCTTACAACTAAAACCTTCATCACCAATCTAATATACCTCTGTCGGTATGTGTAAAGCACGACGTCGATTTTCTCCTCGGCGTCGCCAACGAGCTTGTAGAGAAAGCCGCGCGCCGTCCACATGGCGGCTAAGTCACACGTCGCGTTCGCTATGAGCCTGACCACGCTGTCGAATGGCACGAAACTCCATGCCACTTTCCATGTGCTGTCCGATTTCTTAAGCAACTGGTGAGTAATAAACGAAAGAAGACGTTGATGACGAAAAAAACATGTGTGAGTGTCGTGGAACACTCGGTTAGAATGAAGTTCCTTTCGTAGTATATTATTATTGGTAAACGTATTATATTATTCACTAGCTGTTCCCCGGGACTTCGATTGGATTTCATGGGTTTTAATTTTTTGCGCGGAACCCTAATTCTTTTTCTAAAATAAAATTAAGTTTCTTCTTATAACATCAGCTATCTGCCAGTGAAAGTCCGGTCAAAATCGGTCCAGCCGTTTCGGAGATTAGCCGGAACAAACAGACAGACAGACAGACAAAAATTTTAAAAATCGTGTTTTTGTTATAAGTACCGTATATACTTTCATATGCATATAGTAAAAAGCAGTTATTTCGACATTAGAAAGAGACAGTTCATTTTTATTTATTTGTATAGATTAACAAATACAAATAAATGAATTACTAGCGTCTATTAAAACGAAGCGTCATTTAAAATAATATTTCTTTCATGGCAAGATAACAAAAAGTGCGAGGGTGATGGTTTTCGAACACATACAGAAAGATAGAGTGTTGTAGAGAACATATGCGTCGAGGAATTATAACCATGCTCCCCGAGGACTGGTTTACTGTGTAGAAAGCGATCACTCAATGGATGGATATTATTACATCTCACTCGCACTATAGAAAGGGGGTCGTGACGGAAAAGTCATACACTTTTTCTCGCCTAGCCCCCATCCGTCAAATTCGGTACGGATTCCACTTTATGGAACTTCGTTCCAAAAATATATTTTTTTAATTTTTGCTTTTAATATAGAGCCGGGCTTACTTAATTTTTTATAACCGTTCTTCTTCTTCTTCTTAAATCGTCCACTGTCCACTGCAGTCCACGGTCCTCTTCAGTTGTAGCAAGTATTTGCATGAATCGCCACTCTTAGCAGGTGGATCAGTGTCTTGCTTACATGCTTGGTTACTACCCGTCACCGGTGTGGGTTTTTTACATGTGGCATAAAAGAGATGGTTATACTGCCAAGGTCACCCTAAGATCTTTTTGAAGTGTTCCATAGTCACCTCTTACTGCATCCACGGAATGAATTGAGGTAATTGATTCCCTTACGACGCTAATACACGACAGAATTTGTATACCTTAGCTTTTTCTATAGGATAGGGTGACACACGTGCACACAGTCCACCTGAATGTTTATGTGCCACAGCAACCACTTACCTTCAGGTGGACTGTGCTCATTTGTCCCCCTATTCTATATAAAAAAAACAATATATTCATTCATTTGACAACGTCTATCCCCAATAAAGAATCAAAATGCAGATGCGTTGTCACCCGTGAGGACTAGAATGCCTCTTTTCCAGTAAAAAGTGTCTCCGGTTCTCTACACTCACCATACGAAACACAGCACTGTTAGTTAAGCTACTATTTTACGCTGGTATTCTGTGAGGGCGTGGTCCTTCCCCGGTCGAGCCGACCCATTCGTGCTACAACTATACTACTAATAAAGCTGTAGTATGGCTCTACCGCGTATAAGAAGCCTCTTACATTAATGGTAAGTTTAAGCACTAATTTACTATGTGTGCCGCAATTTTTTATTTTATAGTAGTTATTAGGAAGACCAGCTATAGAAAGACAGCTGGCCATCTCCAGGTTTATTTCCCTCTGTCGCCTTTTACAACACCCACGGCATGATATGGAGTTAGTAGATATTCTTACACCGCCACTATACATTGAGAAAAGCTTGTTTGCTATACTTTATTTAGGCGTATCTCGAACTTTAGATGCTATAAACATACTAAGTTATTACCACTTACTCGAAGTTTCTGATCGGGACCATAGATTAATATGCCGTTGACGAAGGAGCAAATGCTTGGTTTGTCGGCGCCCTGAAGATCCTCTGACCATTCCAGGTTTGTGACCATCCCTATGCCATCGGATTGAACCTTTAAAATAAGGTTTCAGGGTAAAATGAAGAGTTAAAGTTGTCAAAAATTACCTTGCTTACATCCGCTCGAGCGGATAATTTTTGCCATGTAATAGATTTCCCCAAAGTAACGCCGGATTCTATTAATTATCAAATCAAGAAGTTAAAAATATAGCTCATTATAATAGATACTCATTTTTTTGGTTTTCGATGGAGTTTACAATTTTCCACAGACATTTTACATTGGTCGTACAATTTTCATAAATCTATTACACACTGAGCGTGGAGAAATAATTTACGCTATTTGATACGTAATTGTCTTCCACTCTCTATTACTTTCTATAAACTTTAGTGGCACGTAAAGCATATACAAAAACAACAAAAATAAAAACTAATAGCAGTTGCAAATGCGTACTATAATTAACATAGTAATAATGTAGAAATTTAACATCGGTGGTTAACAATAGATACAGTAATAAAAGATAACAAAATGGCACATACATATTCTTAGTCTATAATTATAAATTAATAATATATAAAACAAAAAGACCTTGTAAAATATTACATCTTCTTAGTCTATATAACTATAAAAACTGGCAGATAAATAACAATAAAAAAAATTAGTAATGAAAAAGAATAGAAAGACTTTCTAAACCTTATATATTCTTTGGTTTATAATTATTTTTATACCTGCTAACTAATTTAATCATTGTTACTCTTACCGCTAGTTACAATCTTATTAAAGTTCTTTAGGTTCTTAAGTACATTTTCATTAAATTTTATGAAGGAATCCAGAGCCGATTCCTTCCTCATCAGTTCTGTGAATTTGTATGGCGACACTCTTAAGTTATTGCACAGTAATTCATGATGTATTCTGTATCGGCAGAAGGCGGGGCAGTTCTCCAATAGATTCTCTTTAGCTCATGAGATCATGACACATACAATTGTATTCGAACAACTGTTTACTATTTCCATGTATCATTACAGCCTATCGAAATTCCATTACTGAAATTCTCCCCATAAATTGCCCCATAGGGATGGATATTTTCCATAATCGCAACCGCAGCTTTTTACTTGTTTAGTTGTTAGGCTGACGCTACGCTACTTTTAGAGCAATATATATGGTTTTACTTACACTATAAAGATTTGCCGATGAATCGATGGCGTACAGATGACCGTCATTGGTCCAACAGACTCCAACAAGTGCCGGATCGGATATCTCCCATCCAGTTACCTCTTCCTTTGCTCGTTTCATCATAAGACATCGCTTGTAGCATTGAGCCACTTCCCACACAATCAACCCCTCACCCCAGCATTGGCACAGAAGCATGTGAGTCTGGCTTGGCCTATAATACGAAATCATTATCATGTTTCATTAAAAAAAGCAGATTTAACAATACTGCAAATCCAAATCTAATGAACACGAAGAGAGAACCTCCGGTGGCCATTTTAAATTGTGTGAGTGATACCCGATAATATTTCCCTTAAATTCTTTAACTAGTATTTTAATAAACTAATATTCGGATAACAAACAAACGGTCCACCTGCCTTGTATTGTTCATGCATTGTCACCCCTGAGGACTAAAATGGAATGCTTTCCAGACTGTTTTATACTGTCTGTTTTCAAACCTGAAACACACCTACATAGTGAGTGTACTGCAAATAAAGCAAGAGAATAAGGTAAGAGGAATAACATCTTTTGCCGTTTGCAAATTGCCGTTACTATAATAACGTCATTTGAACCGAATTTCGGTCAAGAAAGCCAGTTTCAACAGAGACTAGTCATCTGCGTAGAACAGGTGCACGAGTTTGTGCACAGTAACAAGTATAATTATCTATTTTCTCACTCGCATAGTTCGATGGTACGATAATCCGACACGACCGAAGGGAGATCAGGCGCAGTACCAACGACTACACGTGTTTCCTTAAGCACGGGGTGATACACCGTCAACACCCTGACTCCAGGCTGCTACTGATAATTTCTTTACAAAAAGACCCAATCATTTTTTTTTTATTGGATCAGAACCAAATCTCTCGCTTTGCTTTATCGCGTCCTAGGCGCAGTACTTGCTGCTGAGTTTGGAATTAATACAATAATTAACTTTAAATGCGCTTACATGTAAATTTGCTTTCTCTTCACAACACCCGTGGGTAAGGCCAGCAACCTCTGCTGTGTCCGCCAGTTCCACACCGTCACGAGATAATTGGGAAAGCCGGTGAAGCCAGCCACCAAGTCGCACTCCATCATACATAAACCCTTGTATCTATTCACTTCTGTGTCTGAAAGTTTTTTTTTTTCAATTAGAGATGGAGATAAGATTTATATACAAATATACAAATTATATACAAATAAATAAAATTGAAGTGTCTGTTTGTAATGTCAAAACAGCTTTTTACTGAATGCATATGAAAGTATATACGGTACTACTAACGGTATAACAAAAAAATTTTTTTTTTAACTTTTGTCTGTTCGTTTCTTCTGGCTAAACTCTTGGTTCCACAACTCGTGGTCAAATGGTTTGACCGATTTTGATGGGACTTTCACTGGTAGATAAATGATGTTACAAGGAGTAACTGAGGCAACTTTTATTTTAGAAAAAGAATTAGGTTTCCGTGCATAAAAACTAGTACCCATGAAATCCAATCGTAATAAATTCCACGTTCTGCAAGACCCGCCCCCCAGAAGAACACAAAAACTCTCCGATCACACTCTTAATCTCATGGCTGTGAGACGGAAGATGAAGCTGCAGTCTTCAGTAGATTTGACATCATACAGGCAACTGAACAGACAGATCTCCAAATGCATGCGGCGGGACTTACGCAACTTTAATACTGCTCGTATTGAAGAAGTAATCAAGCAGAACCAGGGCTCCAAAATCTTTTCCAGAGATCTGATCAATGTTGTAAATATGCCTCCCCCAAGCAATTCCACAAAGTACGGTCCTTAGCCAACTGCATCCACCGACTTTCTGCATATCTTACCAAGTCGTCACTCCATCTAGTGGGGGGCTGCCATAAAATTCGCCTACCGGTACGAGGTTGCCACTCGAGAACTTTTCTTCCCCATCGGCTATCGGTTCTTCGAGCTATGTGGCCGGACCATTACCACTTCAGCTTACTAATCATTTGGGCTATGTCGGTTACTCTTGTTCTACTGCGGATATTCTCATTTTTAAGTTTAAGTTAAACAGAATCCCCGAACATAGCCCTCTCCATAGCGTCTTTCATACGGCCAGGACCACGTCTCAGGTCCATATATCATCGTGTCTCGTCTCTGATACTACATCCTAGTCTTCCTCCATTTTTATCCTATAAACGAAACATTAGTCACAGGCACGGGCAGGTAAAGTGTGACAAGTGAACAAAGGCAAAGTCAACAACTGCTTATGCGTCGCATGGATTAAGAGGTCCCATGAACGGAGATAAATAGTGTTTTAAAATATTGGAGAATGGGAGATGGGCTGCGAGATTTACATCATCTGGGGTTTAGTTTTCAGTGTTTGCGTGTACATAGTAGCACTATATTACTAACTGCCTAATTAAAATATTCCGTTATGGGCATGAAGTAAATCGGCTAGGAGTATATCATATCATAACCCATGTGACTGTATGAGTGTCTAAGTCTGTACTAGAAACAATGGTTAAAAAATCTTGTGAAATCCGAAAGATGAAGTAGAGAAACCATTACGTATATAATATGATAAATTTTTGAATAGATTCTGGAAACGGGAAGGAGCGTCAAAGAAAGTATTCACGAAGCATCTAAAAAGAGTATACAAGATATATCGTAACCACTCTTTTTTTACTTTCTTTTACTCTTTTTTTTTTATAGAAAAAAACCACGTTACATCTTCAGCTGTGTACGAGATCCAAGACTAACAGTTGTAGGTAAGCAGTTGATCTAAACGATTTAAGAGGCGTTTGTAGTCGCTACTTTGCTTGTTGATATAAAATTAGGAGTTGACAAAAATCAATAACTCAAATTCAAAATTTAGAAAACCCCGATAAAACAGCTGATGACCTTGAAACAGCTGAACCGATTTTAATAAACCATGTCTAAGAACCACAGCTAGAAAACCTGATTTTAAATTAAAAAAACCTCACACAAATCGGTTTACCTGTTTAAGAGCAACGTTGCCACAGGCAGACACACATAGCGGTCAAACTTATAACAACCCCTCTTTTTGCGTCGGTGGTTAAAAAACTAGCGATCAACTTTACATATTATACGGAATTTAAATAGGTTCCTACTAGTATTTTTAGGAATTATTCGGAAACATCACTAGCGGGATATAGACTTCCGTGGTTGAGTCAAGTGTATGCGTCAGTACGGCCAGTATACTACTTATGTAAGTAATTTCAAGTTGGTATCAGTTACCTTTCAGTTGCGCCAATTCTTGAAATGTTGGATAAATTAAGACAAAGATCCTCGGATGCTCTGTCTTTTCAGCAAACACAAATATGTTCGATCTATGACCTGTAAAACACGCACGCTATTTTGGTTTGGTGCATTATAGAAAAAAGTTTTGCGAAAAAGCATGAACAAATATTTATTTTTAATATGAGACATTGACCAGTTATAATCTATACGAATCATAATACGAAGTCATAATTTATACAAATATTTATTTACAAGTAAAAGTACGAATATTCCAATTTCAAATTTCCTTCTAAATTTTAATAAGTCGGGGGAAAAAGATTCTTCGTATTTTATATACAAATTCAAGACATTTATATTCAAAGTTTAATTACTTTTAATTATAATATATTATATGCGTCGCATCACCGTCTGTGGAAAATATTTTTTTTGTGGCGAATACTTTCTTTTGTCATAAGAGAATTCACATGTATATATGGGAAATAGGTGATGATAGAAACATGATAGAATTCATAATTGTGAAAATTTAAAATTGTTTACCGGGGGTCTAACGTAGGGACGGATCATTACTTGGTCTTATGCCGAATTAATGGTCTATTCAGACGTTGGCGGCATCGGACATCTGTGTCTACCACTGCGTTACAGCGTATAAGAACAAAGAGGTTAAAGATGAAGATGTGAAAGAGAAGTACAAATGTAGACTGAGAGAAAATAATAGTGGTTTGAATGAATTGTGTATGAATGATTTAGACTTGGAGACTGTGTGGCATAATTTTAAGAAAAGATTAGTGGATGCAGTTACCGAAGTATCTGGTGTAAGTAAGAGAAATAAAGAAAAGAAAAATAATACGTTATGGTGGGATGATGAGGTACGGATGGAAGTTGAAGCAAAGAAGATAGCATGGCTAGATTTATTAGCAACCAAGACTAGTAATTCTGGCGTTATGAATGATGATGTTGATATAAAAAATGCAGTCTTTAGACGTCTAAATAAAAGAGTAAAAGAAGTAGTTGAAAGGAAAAAAAAGCAAGAAATAACGGATAAGAAGGATAGAAGAATATCGGATAATTTCCAGGCAAATATTAAAATGTTCTAGAAACTCGTAAGAACTGCCAGGAAAAATTCAAAATAGCCTAGAATGAATCCTATACGAGGCCAGATTGGCTGTATTCTGAATTACAAAATTTCGAGTTTAAAGAGATGGAAGAAATACTTTGAAAGCGTGTTTATGGGTGAGGAGACGTTTGAATTAAATGAGATAGGAATTACGAAAGAAGAGGAAAGAAATAGGGAGATCAGTATAGATGAAATAATGAAAGCAATGAAAAGCATGAAAACAGGTAAGGCAGCCTAATATGGTAGAGTATCACGTGAAATGATAAGGACTGGAAAAGAAATGGTGGTAGGACTGCTGTACATCTTGTTTAATTTATGTTGGGAACTGAAGCGGGTACCGGGAGACTGTTGCAAAGCTGTGATAGTCCCAATATGTAAAGGTAAAGGTTCGCAACAGGACTGTAAAAACTACCGCGGTATCAGCTGAATAAGCACGTATTAAAAGCAACCATCAAGATATCATGATTATATAAGAGATTGAACTCACCAAGTAGTTTGTCAAATGCGTCAAAATAATTTACATGAAGCTTAGGACTATAAAGAAACTCCTAATATTATTTGTGTGTGATTAAGAGTAATTTCCAAAAAGAGGTGTCCTCATTGGTGACATGTCACTGAATTTTGATTATTAACCGAGGATAGATGTAGGTGTCTATGGGTCATAGCATCAACTTACTATCAGGTGGACTGTGTGCTCGTTTGTCACCCTTTTTCACTAAAAAAAGGCTGGCAGGCGGATAGACGATTGCAGTAGCAAGCATCGCGCACTTTTGATGCAGCTGCCGTCGCTAGTTTGAAATATTTTACGTCTAGCTCAAACGCGATGGTTACACTACCATACCATTACCACCTATCGAAAGGCAGGAGATCTTTCTGGTATTTTCCATAGTCGCCTGTCACGACCTCAATTAGGTGGTGGATTGTCTTACGCTGTTTATATATATTAAGAAATAAAGAAATAGCATATAATATGCACATAAAGTAAGTAAATGTTACTAAACCTGCAATAACATCTACTCCATCGCCGTTATTTTCATTGTTAGCGACGTACACAATTTCACTGTTTGTTTTTAAGTTAAAAAATGTAATGTATATGTCGTGTGCCACTGCTAAAACATCTTTTCCGATAAATGTCATAAAGTCCAATCTATTAGGAAGCAACCATCTGTAAAAATATTAAAATGCTGATAGAATTTTTTTCATTACACTTACGGCATAATTTTTTTTCATAGCAATTCTTGTAAGCACCTTATAATTTAGTCAAAATTTATCGAAGTATGCTTTGAGCTACTAACTATAGCCGGAAATAAGCTTACGAACGAATGTTTTATCCTAGTTACAGTGTATTCAGAACTTGTCGCAGTGTTTGGAAAAAATTTACAATCATAATATAATAATAATGTTCTTCAGACCAAATTTCGGTCACAGCGGCCAGTCTCAACAGAGACTAGCCATCTTCGCAGGACATATTATAGAGCACGAGTGTGTGCACCTGTTCACTTTATTCCCTCACTGTCATAGTCTGATCTAGCGACAATCCGACACGACCGGAGAGAGATCAGGCGCAGGACCAATGACTTTACGTACTTTCCGAGGCACGTGGCTGCACCTGTTCACTTTATTCCCTCACTGTCATAGTCTGATCGGGCGACAATCTGCCACGACCGGAGAGAGATCAGGCGCAGGACCAATGGCTTTACGTACTTTCCGAGGCACGGGGCTGGAACACGGCCAACTTTCTAACTCCGGGCTGCTACTGAGAATTTCTTGACATGATTGATTGCAATCAAAATTAAACAAAAAATAATAATTGGCTGGTTCGTCTGTTATTAATAGTGTAACTTCTGACCGACTTGACCGATTAGGACCATATTCAAACACTATAGTAGGATTCAATAGATGGCGCTGTGGTCAAGTTATAACAAATTCTACAATTATGAACATTTATGGATGAAATGACTCATATTCACGATGTGTGTTGGTTTAGTGCTAAGACAGAAAATCACTAAATTTGGATCCAATAGGTGGCGCGTTGGTCGGGTTATTAATATATTTACCCTGTAAAATGTCCGGAGTGAATCCAGAATGAAACTGGTCACTTCTCTTAACAGAAAGGGCAGAACAACATCCGCCAGGCTATCTAGTCTTTATAGATTAAAATTACGTGTTACGTTGTTTGTCCGCGATGAACTCCTAAACTATTGAAGTGATTTCAATGAAATTTTGTACACTGTGTGCAGTTTGGTCCAACTTGAACAATAGGATATTTTTATCCCTATAAGTGACCTTCAATATTTTTTTATTGTGAATTTAAGGATTTTTTCATAGGAAGAATCGTAGAAAAGGGCAGAACAACGTCTGCCTGGCCAGCTAGTATGTTATAAAATGTTACTGTTATACGGCGATTATGTCTTGATAAGTTCCTGTACAGTAATTATATTAGCTATGGAATGTTAGCTTGATATATCTTAAAGTTGATTAAAGTAGATACTTTTGCCTGAACGAGTTCTATTATAATGTAGTCATTTGGAAATACTTGTGCGAAGGTAAATAATTTCAATTTCCAGCTTACAGTGCGCAACAGGAACGATCTAAATTCAGTATCTTTGTTCGTGGTTTCGTGGCATACTCACACATACTTTATCAAATTTACTTACACAACGTACAAAGTACAAAAAGTTAACAAAATTAAATAGTATGCAATATTAGAGTTATTTAATTCTTATTTTAACATCATAATAAATAAAAAGTATAAAATCGAAGATGGCTCTTTTAATTATACTTATAGCAATTTTACCTCGTTTTTGGATTATATTCGGCACTTTGTTTTTCATCAGAATAAGTCGTCTCCATATTTGGTAACTTTTTAATAAAATTATTTTAACTTATTTTAAGAAGCATGTAATTACTAGTATACTTGACATGAAAACTTAATAATAGCATGGCTGATTATTTTGGTTTCATAGCAACGCAAACAGGGTGATCCGTCTACGGATGAGAAATTTGCACACAATTATAATTTTGTATGTGTCGGTTAGACGTATAAAAATAATTTTTTAGGCCTTTTATTGGGAGGATTCTAGCTTGAATTTAACCTAGGAGCCTCCCATCGAAAACGCCATTACTGTCTTCTTTGGAGATGTGATTCTTATCTTAAGATTTAGTGAGCAATTCGTGACCTTTATTTAGCGGGATTGAAACATATTACTCCTACGTAAAACGGATTAGTAAGCTGAAGTGGCAGTGGGCCGGCCATATAGTTCGAAGAACCGACAACCGATGGGGAAGAAAGGTTCTCGAGTGGCAGCCTCGTACCGGTAGGCGAAGTGTAGGGCAACCTCCCACTAGACGGAGTGACGACCACGCCACGCGGCAGCTTTTGCTGTCGCACGGATGAACCAGCTCGAACCGGGGTGGTACCACGACCTCACAGAATACCAGCGCGAAGTAGAGGTTTACCTCTGCGTTTCGCTTGGTGAGTGCAGGTGGCCGGAGACCCTTTTTACTGGAAATGAGGCATTCCATCTTAGTCCTCACGGGAGACAACGGATCTGCATTTTGATTCACAAACGAGGATAGATGCAGATATCTATGGGCCGCAGCAACCACTTACCATCAGATGGACTGTGTGCTCGTTTGTCACCCTATCCTATAAAATAAAAAAAATAGAAAATGCTGAAGTGGCAATGGACCGGCCATATAGCTCGAATAACCGACAACCGATGGGGAAGAAAGGTTTTCCAGTGGCAGCCTCGTACCCGCAGGCGAAGTGTAGGGCGTCCCCCACTAGCTGGAGTGACGAGTGGTAAGACATGCAGGAAGTCAATGGATGCAGGTGGCTCAAGACCGTGCTTTGTGGCATTCCTTGGGGGGGCCTACGTTCAGAAGATTATGTATCAGAGAATAACTCCAGAATGCCTGTCTTTAGCTGTGAAATATGGGACAAGATTTATCAGATGTGTATCAGGGATTATGGTGATTTTTGCTATATGCGTATTGATTTTATACTCTTTGATTTTTGCTTAATCAATAATCATGTCATTAATTTTTTTTTATTCATTATAAAGCACTGGTTTAAATGTAGCCATAACAACAACCCACCTGGCGGTAAGTAGTGACGATGCCCTAGATTGTAAATCGCACTGACTTAGCCTATTTACGCTTGCCTGGAAGACGCCCTGATTGTAATAGGACGGAAAGAAAGATTATTTCACTCACTTGCTGTACGCATTCCAAAAGACAAGGTAAACTGCTTGATTCGAATGCGTGGAATATCAAAAAAAGGGGTAAAGACCTGCCGACCACCTGGTTATCGGATGGTGGAAAGGGGAGGGAGGAATTGAGGCATGTATTTCCTGCGCACACTCTTCGAAATGCATCATATAGAATATCAAGATGCTAACTAGTCTGCGCCTGTATTCTAGGCCGACGAGATTGGTTTTAACCAACTCAAGGTTATCTACCAATAAGCCTCTTAGTACGTATTTCCATTAAGTCCAATGCTGCTAGATGACATTTTGCAGCACAATCTATATGTAACAGCAGTACTTGATGCAAGATCAGACTCTATAAATATAAGGAAATAAGCTGTCACAGCGTAAAGTTACGCCGCATCCTTGTAAGGACACATAGTTTCGTTGCGGCTGCTTTGGCCCTGAACTCAAAGAATCGCCAATAGTGGTGGTTCGGAGAAATCTGCATAATCACATAATATAATAGATTATATATTATTAATTTTTATTATTAACCTTATATTATTGCACACACTATTTTATTTAAGTAGTTTTCATAATCGTTTTAATTAATCGTATGATAACTGATTAATAAATGCCTAATTAAAACGTTTAAAATCATTATTCAATAGATTAGGATGTACTGAAAGCTGAAAGTAATTATTGAATATTCGGTTCACTATTATTTTACTCATCATCATCATCATCATCATTACAGCCCTTCATAAGTCCACTACTGAACATAGGCCTCCCCCAAGGAATGCCACAAAACACGGTCCTAAGCCACCTGCTTCCATCAAATTCCTGCCTGTCTCACCAGGTCGTTACTCCATCTAGTAGGGGGTCGCCCTACATTTCGCCTACCGGTACGAGGCTGCGACTCGCAAACATTTTTTCCCAATGGTTGTCAATTCTTCGAGCTACATTGCCACAGAGCCTATTGCCACTTCAGTTTACTAATCCGTTGAGCTATGTCGGTCACTCTGGTTCTAATTTTATGCGAAATCGCTCATTTATTGATTAAATAAACCATCACTGTTTTTATACGAAGCCGCTCATTACGCATCTTTAATTACAGCTATATTAATAGTATAGTTGTAGCACGAATAGGTCGGCTCGACCGGGGAAGGACCACACTCACAGAATACCAGTGTAAAATATCGGCTTAATGGTGCTTGCTGTGGTTCGTTTGGTGAGTGTAACATAGGGAACCGGACACCCTTTTTACTAGAAAAGAGGCATTCCATCTTAGTCCTCACGGCTGACAACGCATCAGCATTTTATGGGCCACAGTAACCACTTACCATCAGGTGGACAGTGTGCTCGCTTGTCACCCTTATCCTACTAAAAAAAAACGCACGAAGCGGCATCACTGCGTATCCGTGAATCTACAAGCCGAGATTAAGCTGAAAAGAGTCGTTTGACTATAGCTATGACTAATATTAGGTATGAAATAACTAACGGAACGGCAACACTGCGCATGTAATAGTATTCTGTAATAATGTACGGAACTGGCGCCGCGACGTGACGGTGAGCCGTATGCTTTCACGAAAGCATAAAGAATATATTTGACAAAGATTTAATGATATAATGTCGTAGATACTTTTTTTGTGTTAGTCTCTCTGTACCTATTACGAATATTTTACTCACATCTCTACTTGGCAGAGAGTAATTCGTATAAATCCTTGAGTTTTTGGCGTAAACTTGACCACTTGCTATTCTTGTATTATTGTTTAAATAATGGTTTAAAGTTGATTTTGATATGTAAATGTGATGCGATTATGTGTATGTAAACTATTAGTGGAAATAGTGAAACAAGTACTCCGATGGTGATGTGAATCTCAAGATAAGGTGTTTGTCTTCTTGGGTGGCTTGAGATACTATCACCAACTCTCTGCTGCTCAAGTTGCCGTCAAAATCTTCCAAAAGCTACGCAATATGAGTATGATGCATCAATATATTGTGAAGCAGTGTACTATAAAGGATTATTATCACTTGATAATGAGATAAAAAATGAAGACATGGCTTAAAAAACAAGCATCCAAGCCAAACCATCTTTTTTTAAAGGATATATAATAAATCCTTGACTATACATAATCATAGACATAGAGTATTATTATTTTAGTGAGATGAGAACTGTCAAAGTGTCAAATCAAATATTCGAGATCGGAAATAAATTGATTAAATGATAAAATGGAAACAAATGTCGTAATTTATTATCATTTGCCTCTAAATATTATTTAACATGTGAAATGTGTTAGTGTCTTATAAAAACATCAAAATGTAAGTTTCGTTATCATGGAACACACACCCTTGATTAAAAATGATGACACATAAAGGTTTATTATTGTTTTGCTTTTGATTTTTGTTATTAGGGAAAATGCGACTAGATCGTTTGTCGATCCAGTGGCGGTGAGATGGAATTCATCGTCGATAGATTTCGCAGAGATCACGATGGATCGAAACTTCGCCTTGTTACTGGTGTCCCTGATATCTGCCATCCTCTGGGTCGTTTATATAACGTACTACAACAGTCGAGTGCTTGGATATATACTTACTAGACTAATCAACAAATTCTACTTTCAAGATGAGAACTTTAAGATTGGTGAGTGGTTCCTTCTGCATCGATAAATGTATTAAAAAAGGCAAGTTAAAATGCCTTGTTAGACTATATACTAATTAATTATTGTGTGTATACCATTAAAGAGTATGGTCTGTTATAAACATCATTGTAGGAAGTTGTTATTTTTTTCCACACATGAAATGTTTCATTCACACATGCTATTCTATAAAGTAATATAAGTAAATGTAGACAATGTCAGCAATATTTATTTTTAATTAAAATATTGAAGAAAGTAAATTTCATTTAGTAGTGTTACTTGTGCAATACTGTAACTCTTTTAATAAACCTGAAGTTTGTTAACTTTTGTAGTCTATATGGCTTAAGTTTTTTATGTATAAATATCATCAAAGACCTTTGACCTTTTAACATGTCTTTATTTAAACTAATTTAGGAAAATTGCACAGCAATAAATAGAATTATTAAGAGATATATTGTTATTTTGTGAAATTATGAGTCCTAAAATGTGTTTCATTAAAGTTTCCGGCATCTTAAAAGAGCAACAGATTTTGAAAGTATGTTTATAAATTCTTGTAATTTTGTAGGAGTCATTGTATACTTCATAATAACATAAAAAATATCAAAGTATCATTGTTCATGCAGTTTAATTGCATTAGATATTATTTATTTTGTAAGATCATAATCATCAATTATCTTTCTATAAAAGAGTTGGGTTCTCGTCAAAATTAGATTGATAATTTAAGGTTTTAATATCAATTAGTAGTTTAAAATAGTAATTAAATAATTTTTTTGCCTAGTAGTCTCTCTTGATAAGTACCACTCCCTTACCTATTTCTGCCTCCAATTAACAGTACTTACACTGTTCTGTTCTGCTTTGAAAAGTATAGAGAGTGAATATAATTATAAACTTTGAGCCATTCTATCTTAGTCCACTGATGGTGAATATACAGCCTTCTTTGTTTGAAACTGGCTGCAAGTATAACAAACAAACACACACTCCACCTGTTGACAAGTGAATGCTGCGGTCTATAGACATCTACATGACATTAAGGATAGTTCAATAAATAATCAATATGCAGTTGTGTTGTCACCCCTGAGGACTACGATGGAATGCCTTGTTTCCAGTAAAAAGAGTCACCATTACTCTAAACTCACTAATCCAAAGCAGCATTAAGCTGCTACTTTATGCTAGTATTCTGTGAGAGTGAGGTCTTTCACAAGTCGAGCCAACCCATTCATACTATAATCATAACATAGACTGTGAGTTTGTTTGTCCATTAGAAGGTATCCTTAATTGAGATAGTATACGCAGTATTGGGTGTTATATTTACAGAATATATGGCCAACCTATTTGTGTATTTCTTTTTCCGTACAATTTAGTTCATCATCAATATTAAAAGCCCATTATAACACCACTGCTCTGAAAGCTTGCCTTGAAGCACGGTTTTCATCTCTCAGTTCACAGTCAGCTGTTTCAATCTTTGAAGTCATTGCTGTTTCTTAGTTATCTATTTATGTAACCCATTCTTAATTATCTATTTATAATACTTAGTATTGAATGAACAATGTTTAATGAGAAATATTATTTTTATTTATCTATTTATACTTTATTGTACAGGTGATAAAAGGATTACAATGGGTGGACTTAATGCTTTTTGGCATTCTCTCTCAGTCAACCATTAGAGCCGGGACATTCGTGCTAAAACCATAATATAGATGCAGTGTGGCTCTACCACGTGTAAATAGTTATTTAAATAACATTTTATAAACATTATAAGCTGCAAAAGTCTACTGCTGGAAATTGGCTTCGAAGACATGAGATCTAGGGTTTCCCATAGTCGAAGAAGTAAGAAGGCTAGGCTAAGTAGAGATAAACATATGGGAATGTCTTAAGTGTTGTATCTAAATTATGTAATTTACATATTAGATGGAATAAGTAGCAAAGAGGTATTCTAAATTAAACTAAGTACTGTACTACTGTTGGGTCCTCCTCATTTTCTGAGGGTTTAGGGCATCCCTGAAATATTTATGTTTCTCAAGTATGCAGATTTTCTAACTATGTTTTCCTTTTCCGGCTAAGTAAATCGGCACTTAAAGTTGTGATTAACAAAACCAATGGTGCTGGCAGGAATCAAACTCAGCTCACTAGCATATTATGAAATTTAAGGTTCATTTAACATTTATTTCTGGTGTCAGTAGCACTATTACTGTAACACACTTGTAAATTTTTAAAACAGTTTTATCACAAATTAAGTAGGGGTTGTTATTGGGTGGTAGTTGATTGTTTTGTAAAGCAGTTGAGTATGTGGCAAGTTACATTGTAACAAAAAGATTTATAGTCAATTGCATATGGCTTCTGTAATGTTTATATTACATGGCTTCTGTTTATGCTTTCCCTTTTTTATTATCAAACCTAGTTAAGTGCACAATGGGGTTGTACAGACGTACTTATCCAGATGAACTAAACTAAAAAGTGACCTACACAATAATTATAACTTTTAATAAAAAGTAAAAACTGACTTCAAATTGCTAAAATAGAAGTTATTTATTTGTTACCCTTAGGGGTGGAATTTTTTCTCTAAATTTATATGAGACCACCTTTGTAAAAAAATCATCAAAATTGGTTCACAATCTGGAAGATATCGTGAAACATACATATAAAAAAAACATACACTCGAATTAAGAACCTCCTCCTTTTTTAAAAAGATGGATGTGTATAATGATAATTATTCATTTACTTTTCTCATACGTTTTTGTAATCTTTTGTATAATAAAGTTGAAATATTACACTAGCTAGGTTCATGGAATTTTTGGATGTAAGCATAATCAATTTTTAATTGTGAAGGCTTACTCTGTTTGATAAACTACAATTTCTTAGCTAAACTAAATATTAAAGTTGAAATGTAACAATGGTCACATTTTTACCTATAATAAGATTTATATGGCTTCTAAAGAATTATAATTATAAATGAAATTGATAATAATGGAATGAAAATTAATAAACTACTTATTTAAGTAGCAAACACTTTTAAACTATTATTAATTTTTATCATGTTGTCGTCATAAATTTGTTATTAAAATAACTGATTTTATTATAATAATTAATATATTTTGGAATTGACTTTCATTCTGTTTACTACATCTAATTGGTTTACTTATGTTACTGTGTTCAAATTCATAGTATGACTGTATGAATAAGATTTAATTTACACTAAGGTAATAAGTAATATGTGTGTGGTTTTGCATCAGTATATTCATGAAAATAATTTGCAAAATACAATAATTCAGTATTGGTTTAGCAGTTAACAGGCAGGCTGCCTAGAAATTGGATTATATAATAGTTAAGTATCCTTTATAATTGTATTTAGTTAATCCAATATTAGTGTATTTACAGAACAAGATTTTAAGAATACAGGAGGACAAGTATTAATTTATATATGTGTTATTGTGTGACACTACAATAGGTGGAGTTGATGCCTTGCAGTGTTATTTAGTAGTGAACCCTTTGAGTAGAGACAAATATGTTTGAAAATGTACAAATTTACAATCTTCTTCATGACAGGTGTAAAATACTCAGACTACCGACAGGCAGATGCATCAAATGTGCGAGACTTCTGGCACTGTGACAATCATTCCACTAATCTTCACTATAACACTACATAATGATCATAACATACCACTTCTTCAAAGAAGAATAATCACTAATGTTAAAACACATACTTACTTAAATAAGCACTTGTTGTATAATGTTTTTTTTTTATAGGATAAGGGTGAAAAATGTGCACACAGTCCACCTGATGGTAAGTGATTGCTGTGGCCCATAGATATCTACATCTATCCTCGATTATGAATCAAAATGCAAATGCGTTGTCACCCATGAGGACTATGGTTAAATGCCTCGTTTCCAGTAAAAAGAGTCTCCGGTTCTCTACACTCACCATACAAAACACAGCAGCGTTAAGCTGCTATTTTACGCAGGTATTCTGTGAGTGTGGGCCTTCCCCGGTCGCGCAGACCCATTCGTGCTACAACTATACCAGTAATATAGCTGCAGCATGGCTCTACCACGTAAAAAATGTAGAGTATGGAAGTCAGTATTTAACCGACTTCAAAAAAGGAGGAGGTACTCAATTCGACTGTTTTTTTTAATGTGTGTTACCTTAGAACTTTTTTCTAGGTGAACCGATTTCGATGATTTTTTTTTATTTGAAAGCTGGTGCTTCTCATGCGGTCCCATATAAATTTGAACAAGATTTGACCAGTAGTCTTTGAGTTATCCTTAATAATGCGTATTTAATTGATATTCTCATTTTATTTATATTGAAGTTGGTAGTACAAAATGTTTAATTTTACCACTTGTTTTTCAAAGGTTCCTTCACCCTCAATGCACTCTCTGGCAAGATCATGTTCCGCGACATTGTGTATATCAACTATGACTATACATTACGCATACAAGACGGTTACTTGATATTCAGATGGTGGCGGTCTTATGTACCTAAAGATGTTTCAGAAGGTAAAGTATGGTTATCTCTTTAATATTCTTTTATATGATGATTTTCATAAACAAATTGTACAGCTGTTAAAATAGGTGGGGGCTTAGTAGTTAATAGGTGGATCTTTTAACTATTATTTATTCTGTGGTAGGATATTAGATAAGCAGCTCTGCCCAGTAAGAAGGAAGAAAGGTAATGTTTTATTTATTAAAACACATTGTTACATTTTTGCAACTATTATTTATTTTAAATTAAATATATGGTTGTTAGTAAGGTACCCGAATCTGCATAAAATTGTGATAATGCCAGTGGACTTTGTCACTGTTTTTTGGTAGCGTGGCTGCCATTGAGAATTAAGTACTAGGCGAGCGTCGTGGCATCTAGTCGAAATTTGACCAATTAATTGGTTGAAGTCTTTTGTATAGAAACATATGTATGTATGCATATTAACTTTATTTCACCTGTCTTAATGGCCAACATGCACACACGATTTTTTTCTGCACATCTGTGGCATGGTACCTTCCTAATGATATATTTTCATTCCATTCTTCTCCTTTTAGCATAAATTATAAAAGAAACGTACGACTATTCTCGATGTTCACAATTTACCGTTACAGCTTATCAAAAGCCCGCTGTTGAACATATTATATTTGGGAATATTTGCCATAGTTGTCATGCTTTATTGGCACCTGCATATTTTTCTAGTTGATTTTAAAGAGACACTGCTACCTATCTCCTGTTTTGTTTCCTTCCGTCTCCTCCGTGCCTCTTATGGCAACCACGAGACGATATGTACACAGTCACAACACGGTTAGAATGAGATTTACTTGTTATTTATTTCATGAGGTTTTAGAGATACGCGCAGAGAAATATATTCACATATTAAGTAAATAATAAATTTCTATGTTAATAGTGTTAATCTGAAACGATTTCAAAGGCACAGGCACTATGACTGTTTTGCCTAACCATATAGTTACAACTTCAACCATATATTGGTAATTGAGGACAAATGTATCTGTGTTTTCACACTTTTTATTGTGCACATATGATACTTTCTAGCAATTATTGAGCCTACTTACTGTTATATCAGTATACCATGTTGGTCCTCACGAACATCAACATTTTTGCATTTCGATTCTGAGTAGAAGATAGATTTAGATGTCCATGCGCTACAGCATCTACTTACGATCAGATGAATTGTGTGTTTATTTGTCACACTTTTCTGCCGACTTCAAATAGGAGACGGTACTCAATTCGACTGTGATTTTTTATGTGTGTTACCTCACAACTTTTTACTGAGTGAACCGAATTCGATGATTGCTTTTTTATTTGAAAGCTGGCATATAAATTTGATCAAGGTCTGACTAATAGTTTTTGAGTTATTCTTAATAATTTATATTGAAGTCGGTTGTACAAAATTTTTAATTTTAAATTATTTCTATAAGAATAAAAGTCATCATACTATTTAAATCTATTTGGAGGTTATTGTTATCATTCCGCCGCCATTACCACGGCCTTACGAGTTTAATAGGTTTAACGGCCTAACAGCTCTTTACTTAAATATAGTCTTATTTATTTGTGTGCAGTAAAATTACTTATTAACAGTAAGCATAATTAACAGTAAAAATTCATAAAAACATCTATTAAATAGTTCTGTAGGTACCAGATTGTAATCCTACTTAATATGTTGATACAAAATTGTTAATAAAGGAAAAATCTACTCTTAAAAAACCGTCCTGATAACTTAACTACTTAATATTAAAAAAATCAAACAAGTATGCAATAAAATGCCATGAAATAAAATTAATACATACATTATTATGTCTGTTATATGTCATATATATATGTTATATCATCATCATTGTCATAACAGCCCTTCACAGTCCACTGCTGTACATAGGCTCGCTCAAGGAATGCCACAAAACAGTCCTGAGCAACCTGCATCAATTGACTTCTTGCATAATGTGTTATATAATAAATTTTTATTTATTTATTGACGCTTTTCTTAAAAGATTAGTTTAAAATTGTATTGTTACAGATTTATCGCATTCAGACACTCGACTATCAATAATGTTGAATGGCTTCGAATTACACTTCTACAATAGATGCGAGCTTTACAATGAACTAGAGAAAACATTTGGCCTTGAGCCTGTAATAAAAGAACGGCATGACGACGATTCCACCGATCGCGACAAAGCTATGAACGACGCAAACGAGAAGCGCAGGCGCGCTCAAGACACAGTACGCTCGGAGGCAGCTATGGCCAGGACCTGGCGAGATCTCATTCCAGTCATAAAGATCGATGTTTGCACCAGCCGTGTTGTTTTCGGCAATAAACTTGTTCCAACAACATTATCAATAAGCGTTGAGGAAGCACACTTGGTCTATAGTACTAAACCACCAGCTTCCAGTTTGGATCATCTGATGCATTTTGTGAAAGTTAAAGCCGAAAATTGCAAAGTTATCTTGGCTCCTAGTCCAAACTATACAGCTATGGTTGACGAACCACCGCGATACATGGGAGAAGGTTTTGTAGTTATGAGCTCTAATTATATTGAGGTTTACTTCTATATGGATGAACCAGGTTTGGTGCCAGAGCAGCCCGTGCTTTTGCAGTTAGCTAATGGAGACATCGTAGAGTCGGCGCCGCCTATTTGGGGTGTTGATATCAAATGCGGGAAGGGCACTGATTTCAGTTACGGACCGTGGGCAGATAGACAAAGAGACCATCTCTTTAAATTCTTCTTTCCACCTAATTACAAATCCCTAGAAGTGACACCACAACCAAAACCTGGTGACAGAAGACAAATGCAGTCTTTTGATATTAGACTTTCAACACTTAATGAAGCCACAATTGACATTCTATTTACGAAGAACAAAGAAACAAATGCCGTTCACATCAATGTTGGTGCCGGATCATATATGGAGGTGACTCTGCCATGGATAGTGCTGCAAGACGGATACACAACTAAAATAACGGGTCAACTTCTTCACTTGGAAGCAACAACGAGCCTTCAATATAGAAGCTTAGCAGAGAGCGAGACATTGGAATATACTGTCAAATGTCATTATCCATTAGTTTGGAATCATCATCAGTGCTGGCAGTTGTCACTGACCGGCTGCAAAGCTACAGCTCACTTTGTGTACACCCACATTGATTTCTTTCAAGATCTGATCAATGATTGGGCAAGCAAAGCCCGCCCTGATATTTTACACTTCATTCCTTACACATGGAAGATTTCACTATTGTTGAAAGAATGTGAAGTATTAACATTGAGCAATCAACACAATTGGATCGACTGCAGCTCTACAAACCAGGAAAACAATCATGTTGCCTTCTGCGGGGACTTGTTGGATGTTTCATTTGATTTACCTTTCATTGATTTTTTGCCGGATGTAATACCTCTCAAGATTTGGGTACAAGGCGAAGCCGTAGACATGAGTCTATACCTACCTGAAGTTAACACTTCAAGATTGCTCCTACTGTCAATTGACAAGAACATGAAGTTGCTTCCCTGTCGATTAAAAGCTTCAAAATGGCGTAGGAAATGTGTAAAAAGTCAGGGCTGGGTAGATTGTTGGTCCGTCCCTATTGTGGCGTTGAGCGTCAGATACAACTACCACCCGATTCCACCATTTGGACCAGAGCCACAAGCTGATATTACAACGCCGGAGAAAGAAGAAATCCTTCTTTCACCCATGAGAATACCAAGAATGAGAAAGCAGCCGCAAATGAATTGGGCTATTGATGGAAACACATTTGATCGGACTTCGCTGCCACCAGACAAAGTGAGTGTAGAACTGGAAGTAGGACCTTCCGTTCTTCTTGCGTATGGAACTATAATCACAAGTTTTATGAATTTACTAGAAAATATTTTCGGTGAAGACCAGAGATTCACTGACATGCAAAAATCGCCGAACGTAGAAAGCTTCTTCTGGTTTAATGATAACCCTGTAAAAGTAAACGACAGGAGTAGCATAAATCAACATGTTGATGTTTGCAATTTGGACGACTCCAGCGATTCTGGCAAAGAGCCTTTCGACCCCCGCCGCTGTCGGCCTCTAGATGTGTCCGTGTCTATTATTATCCACGACATTCAAGCACATTTGGTGAAAAATTGTAGCGAAAACGAACCCCCGTGTCCTGTTGTGCTCATTGAAAGATTCGGATTCGAAATGGACAAAAGGTTTAGAGAAACTAAGCTCCAGCTTTTACTCAGCCCTTCAATTCTCATATCGTCCAATAATTTATCGAGGCCCAATGCAAATGCTTCCGGCGCTCTTCAACAAGGACATTTAATGCTATCGTCTTTTCAACTTCGCGGTAACGGTTTCTTCAGTGACGCCAATCGCTCCGTGGAAGAAGATACTACAGAGTATGCGTGGATGATGGAGTTGCAGCTTGGTCAACTGACAGGTCGTTTAACCCTGCCACAGCTCTACCAGATTGTTTCATCTCTCGAGACGTTCTTATTACTTATTTGCGACAGCGAAAACGAGTTGGTACCTCCAAATGCTGTAAAGCAATGCCATCATGGCTTAAACAATGTTCTATGTCCAGAAACAGACTTAGCTCTGAAATATCGTTGCCCTTCCCCGAACGAAATCAAATATCGCATGATCCGAGTTGCGATCGACCTCATAGATATTTACATTGCTGACTCAAATACGACACTTCAGTCGTGGATATCCCCAATTAGATTATCCTTCTGTAATCTCCATGGATCTGGTTTTGGCACTGGCATTACCGGCTTGCTCCCGAACATAAAGCTTGCGTTATATACGCAAACAAACATGCAAACTAATACTCACCATCATTCCAATGGCAGTGCTAACAGCCAAAATAAAACAACTGAAAGTGAGAATTGGGTAGGTGTAGGATCCGTATCACTTGGACCGGTGTTAATTGAAGCGGCTTCTTCGCTGCCCCAAACTCCGAGAAATCTGCATTTAGTACAACAAAAGTTCCTCAAACTTCACGATGATAAAACTAAAAGGCTGTGGTTCCTGTGGCCAAATGAAGGCAAGAGCACTCAGTGCGGATGCACAGGTGGTTGTGCATTTTTCGGCTCAAATCGAAACGGGCCGAATTTCCTAAAGCCGACGCAATCAGATATCCACGAAGGCATCAATGTAGCCATGTTCAACGTCATAGAAACGACGCCCGGAGAATATGGCTACGGACAGAGCTTGTTGCACCCAGGGCAACTGGTGTTCCACACCCCGCCGTACAATAGTTTGAATGTATGCTTGCAGCCGACAAACGTTGCCACTTTGATTCCTTCGCCTTTACCACAAGCATTGAACAAGTCGCCTCAAAGCATTGATCGACGAAGTTTGACAAGAAGGTTCTCTTACACGAGTATGGGTAAAGGTAGTAACAATGTGCTGGTTTCAAGCACCAAAAGTGACGTTCCATACGCTCGCCTAGTAGACACTACAGTGCCTTTAGGAAGTTCTAAAATTGATAGTGACTCAAAACTCAATAAGAGTATCCTCAATGTTCCTCAAATGGAAAGTAGTGTTTCAGATTCTAAATTGGCCCTCAGCTGCGCCGTTAAAGACAGCACAAATGGATTATCCAAAAAGTCTGTAGTAACTGAAAACGAGGTGTTTGCTGCTCCTAAAGTACCAGCAAGAAGCGTTGCCGTATCGGAATCTCATTATTCCCTCAACTCACAACCTCCTCACGAGGAATCACTATCTCAAGAAGTCCAAAGAGCGATGTCGATCACTAGTGAAAATCATTCCGAAGCGTTCTTCTCGGCCGACGAAGACATGTTCCCGAGTCGCTCATCAAGCTTAAAACATTCGTTCGGAAGTCGCCACAGCAATCCAAAAGAGAAGAGTTCATTCGGCATAAACGATGTAACGAATGAAAAATGGACTAATTCAATTCCCAGATCAGAAGTGGTGGATGGCCGCGACACTATTAGCAATATTAGCACCGGCATGCAACCGGATTCCGAAAGTGGATCTGTTTCCTCTACTTCATTTATTTCTGCAATTTCTTCACAAGAAGATATGACACTTGTTAACCTTCATATGCAAACTAATAAACCTATAGTGGATTCGCCTTTACTCATGGCCAGCTACATGCATAATCTGCCACAGTACAAATGCTCTAATTGGTCCACGTGCTCTTTGCCCTGCGGTAGAGACGCCTTCACATTGCCGCTTTTCAAAAGAGCTGATGACGGCTCTTTAGTTTACATTGGTCAGAAATATTTGCCTGATTTCGAACCAACAGGTAAGGTACATATTTTAAAACTGATTTCCAAGAAAGATGGACACAATGCCCAAAATCAACACGCCCCTTTCTCCAATTTGACGCCACATTTCAATTCTCAAGTCAAAGCTCATCCCTATCCTCAAGCCTGGTGGGAGCTCCAGCAAAATGTGCAAGACAACCAAGAGAACGTTACAGACAGGAGTACGACATCCATTGCTACTACAACAAGCGACAGTAAAAGTGGGCTGTTTGTGAAACTGCGTGGAGAAATTGATGTGATGCTGACACCTCTAGTGTTGGAAAGCACTCAAAAATTTGTCGAATCTTTAACACCGGTTTTGGCTAACATTCACCCGATAACCGTGATCAATCACTTGCGACTGCTTTGCATTTCGTCTGTAGAGCGCGCTAATATCCTGAAACAGAAACAGTATGTCTTGAACTGGTTGCCGCAAGTGCAAGCTCACAATCAGTCTAATATCATACCTAATAAAGATGACAAGTATAAACAAATTCCGACTGTTCCGCAACCGAACGTGTACGAAGAAACAATATGCGAACAACTACAAGCAACTGTAACGGTACCAAAAGTTAATGTGATATTTATCCAGTCATCTGTAGTGGAGGATATGATCTCTTTTTCAGCTTTAGATAACATACAGGATTTGACGTGTGTGTCACTTTTCGGATTGTCAGTAGAGAACATAGTGGCGAAATTCGTTAGTTCTAAAAAGACTTTGGAATCTATTCAGTTGTACTACAGACCTACTTTGCGTGCTCTTGTAAACAAGAAGTCGTTTGGTATCATGAAGGGGCCACGGGCGTTTATCTCCGCACAGTCTTCGGGATCTGGACGAAAGAGAGGACCAGAGAAAGGCGAACCGGTGTTTATAGAAACATCACAACAACAGTGTGAAGACACCACTATCACATTGAACATTGGTATGTTGTATTTGATTTTTGAAATAGTTTATTTTATTTGCGTGTAAGAAGATTGATGAATGTTAATGATTTATTATAATAGGTAAAGTTCACGGACAGCTGCGACGTATACGCAACGAGTCATCCCAGTTAAAGGATGCAACTGTAACCGGCATTCCATGTCAACATTCCAAAGTGTGCTTCAAGTTTACTAAAATTGACCCTTGCAGTAAGGGATGTGACACTACGGTAAGTACTGAGTATGTTCTAGAAATCGAAAGCGATAATTCTTACAGTAGATGTATTAGATGTATTAACAATAGAGTATGGACATTACGCATCGAGTATCGATTAACTTTATGAATAAATCACAACAAATAAATTGCAGTTTCATAAATCTGGTTTTGTGGTAAGAAAAAACATTCACTTGCCGAGCATTCTTTACTCGATATCAGAGAAAAATAAGTAATTTAATCAAAGAATAGTCAATATCCGAGCATCAGTACTCGTTATCAATACTATCGATTGAACCATAGTTGTGGTTGTTTTACATTTAATATAAATTATGTTACTATTATTACGATGTTTTTAATGTTTTACAGTGTTGCCAAAGTGGTGCAACGGAAAGCCAAAAGGAAAGTTCAGTCGGCTTCATAATGTTTGAATGTGGGCTTGAAGGTGTAGCTATCAAAGTATCTCAACACTCCCAGTCCCAGAAAGCGAACGAGGAGAAAAAGCCACCTCGGAACGATAACGAAAGTTGTCGCGAATCCGTCAAATCCGCTGAAGAACTCAAACCTGATAAAGAGAAGACTAACAAGGGATACAGGACATCGGGAATTGAAGACCTGTTTAGAAAAAAAGAATCGAACTCGAAGCCAAGTACTCCAAACTTAGGAGCGGCACAACCGCCTCCGGTGCCGCCGGAACCCACAACTCCCGGCCCAGAGGAACCGACTGAGAGTACGGCGACAATAGTTCCCGTCAAAGATAATGGTAATAGGTCCTCCTGTGCCATAGATCTAAAAGTTGTCTGGTTCAATTTCGCTGCGCCACCACGCACACCAATTACGAAGAAGATCGACTACACAAGGTACTTCTTCTTTTTAATAGTTTCAAGTGCGCATATGCACTATGTAGATATCCGCATTGTGGCCAGTCGTACAGTTGACTGCAAGCAGATTTAAACGTGGTAGAGCCACACTGCAGCTATATTATGGGTCGGCTCGACCGGGAAAGGACCACGCTCTCACAGAATACCAGCGTAAAATAGCAGCATAACGCTGCTATGTTTCGTATGGTGAGTGTAGAGAACCGGAGACCCTTTTTACTGGAAACGAGGCATTCCATCTTAGTCCTCACGGGTGACGACGCATCTGCATTTTGATTTGTAATCCAGGATAGATGTAGATGTCTATAGGCCGCAGCAACCACTTACCATCAGGTGGACTGTGTGCTCGTTTGTCACTCTTGTTCTATAAAAGGGACAATTCAGAAAACTAATGATAACAAACTTGGAGAATACAGTTTGGTGTTGCAGCTACATATCTATCACCTACATCCAAAATTTAATTACATCACTCCATAGCTAAAAGCTCACAGAATTCGCTACGTTAAGTGAAGACTGTGATGCATCGCGCACAGCGGAAGTGGAGAGGAAACACAGCCGAGTCCACGACACAGCCATGTTCTAATTTTTTTTCTTAGAATAATAGTGACAAACGAGCACAAAGTCCACCTGATGGTAAGTGCATGCGGTGGCCAATAGACATCTACGAGAGGAGGTCAAAAAGTTCGCGGATTGACAGGGAAGGATAATGAAATGAAACATTAAACTATTTTTCCATTTCAATGTATTCTCCCTTAACCCTAATACGTTTATTAGATCTGTCAAATAACTTATTAATACCGTCTAAAAAAAGATTTGTCTTGGTCGTCAAAATAGGTCGAAATTGCCGACTTCACTTCATCATCGTCGAAAATTTCTTTCCCACGCAGTTCTTTCTTCATTTTTGGAAACAAATAATAGTTGCCTGGGGTTAGGTCTGGTCATACTGGTGAACCCAAGTTTCATCGCCAGTTACAATTTGGACCATAACTTCCTCCCTTTGCTCTTCTCAGCGGTCAAAACTCACGACAACTTTCGACGCGCTCGTGTTTTTGGTGCGGAGACAGCATTCTTGGAACCCATCTTACATAGTTTAGTCATGCCAAAGTGTTGATGAAGGATGTTTAAAATGGTTGTTTCTGATACTCCAACTAATGTTGCAAGCTGTTTTTTCTTTAGCCTATCTTCCGATACAAGTTCAACTTTTTCGATTATTTCTGGTGTGGTAGCCTCAATTGGCCTTCCAAGTCGAGGGTCGTCTTCAATGGACTCCCTCCCTTATTTGAAAAGGGCGTGCCATTTATAAATCATGATTTTCCCAGGAGCGGAGTCCTCATAAACAGCTGACATCTCTTGAAAAATGGTTTGAGGTGTCTTTCCTTGTTTGGTAAGAAACTTAATGACAGCGCGATATTAAATTTCCTCCATAGTAGCTACTTTCTTCCCGATTGACTTCTTTACTCGTTGATAACTCAAAAGCTAAACCCGATTAGGCTGAAACTTGGTATATATACTAACAACGAGTCATTCAACTAGTGCCTACCTGGATGAGAAAACTCACCCTCGCCAAACCCGCCGTTCCGCGAAATATTTTACCTCCCCTCGTAGATCAATCCTCGTTAAGAATCACTTAAACAAAGGTGATATGCCTCGTTTCCAGTAAAATGGCGTTTCCAGTTTTATTTTATCTAGTATTTTGTTAGAGCGTAGCGTCCTACCCCGGTCGAGCCGACCCATTGGTGCTACAAACATAATATAGCAGTAGTTCTACCACGTACAAAAGTCTTACATTGTGGAAGCAAATTTAAAGATGTACTCACGTCAAAACCCCGGCAGGCTGGACTGGAACCTGCTGAGCACGGCGTCGCCGGCCATCAATGCGTGGATGAACCCATGCAACCGGTTGGGCATCCGCGTGGTGGCGCTGTACCGCGCGCGCGCCCGGCGCCTGGCCGCCACCGCCGCCAGCCTCATGGCCGCCGCGCTCGACCGCGCGCCCCACCACACCACGCCCAAGGTCACCCACACCCCACTGCTCACTGATATGTGCCGACACCTGCGCACACATTCACACACACGCCTCCGATTCTTACATCCAACTAACATTCAAAAAATAATAATTGATATATTATGTGTTGAGAAATTTTTATTTATTAATTTAATATATTAACGAAATTTCTAATAATAATTCTAATAGCGTTTACGAATTCAAGTAGGTGGCAGGGTCAGCATCAAAGATATGTTATGATTCGTTTTCTAAAAAAAGGCAAAAAGATTGTATATCCGCCAGTCACGTGTCACGACTATGGCGAATCCACTGAACTTTGTACAAAGCCAGCTTGAGCCAGCACACAGTCAATGACGATAGTATCTCAGGACGCTTAAACAGACTAAATTACTTGAGATTTGTATTAACATTGAGCACTTGTTACGTTATTGCCATTAATAGTTCTCATGCGCAGACACTTAATACAAACAATTGAATCACTGTATCAAAGTTCATTTAGTACTATGTTTTAAACGATAAAACAAGAGCAACAGTCCACCGGAGTTCAAGTTCCCCTCAAAAACATTATTTTAATTCACTAACTAAAGTGTCAAACTACCCAATTACAAGTTCAGAATAACAATAAAATACAATAAATTTATTTCCGGTATCAAGGATGTAAAAATTAAGAACATTGGCCCATAGGAATATATACCTTAACCTAAAAATATATATAAAATATAGGCATAACATTATTTAGGGAACTTTTTTCTTTGGCGCGTCCCTGTATCTGCGAAACACTACCCCAGAGTGCCAGAAATCGGGAGCGAGGAATGTCTCTTTGTGTTTTGCAGGAACCTGGATAGGATTTGAAGTTCGTTGACCTATTAGACTCCATACGCTGCAAATGTAAAGAGATCGGATCCTCAACGCGACATCGGCTTCACGCAGGACGTATTCTCCCGACTTACTTTTTTCCAAACAGGAGATGTATGGTTGGCTCCACAGCACGCAGAGTTGTACTCGCGTTTATTTTGGCGGTCTCACGCTGGTTACAGACGGGTCTCGACCGACGTTTTTTCTCAATAAGAGTAAACACGTCCTTATCAATCTTGTCTTGGGTCACCACTGGTCGCTTTCGACCACAAGAGGGTGCCAGTTGGAAAGATTTTCGGGCAACATCCGCAAATGTCTTCCCTTGTTTTGAGGTTGGCTTCGGCGGAGGAGTACTAATGGGTTCAGTCAAGGGTTGAGGTGGTGATGCAATAACGACCGAGGTCGCCCTAGATTCACGGTCATCAACCCGCTGACAGACGGTATCGCGTGACGGAGTCGCAATCATCGGTGAAATATGTCTACTATTACGGTTACCGCGTGTCGTATTTACATTTAGCGGTGAATTCGCAGATGTTGCAATTATTTTGCAACATCTGCGATATATATATTGACTTCATTCCTCAGCTCTGTTGCGGCTCGTTCCGATTCTTCAAATTTGGAACGGATGTCGGTAACATCGGCTTTCAACTCGGTGATGTCTTTCAACAATTTGGTCGAACGTCACGGGAGGCAACTTGTTGATATCACGCGTGACGAAAGTTGGGATGTCATCAGGGTCGGTTTCATTGAACAGCCTGAAGATGTCTTGCAGGTCTTTCTTACCGCGTCCATCTCTTTGACATGTCATAAGACGGATTTGGGTCACGGCTGAATCTGCCAACACCTTCTGCGCTTGAATGATCTCGTCCTCGGTGAAGCTTGTCATCAGTATCTGCTCCAGAGACACCTCGTCCATGACGTCCAATTTTTGTTGAACAAAGACCAGGAACTCTTGAGTTCCTGGTCTTCGAGCTCTTCGAGGTCTTCTTACGACGGTTTCGGAGCGTTTAGGTTGATACGCCATTTCGAATTATTTTCGCGCAGTAGGTATGTTTACGCTACGAAAATATTGTAGGTTCGGCATGAGAGAGCATTATGAAGCGACTGCACTGACCTTGAAATTGAGCGGCTGGAATTAGTCCGAACAATTCCTCAGAGCACTCCCCGTGGTAGATGCGATAAAATTCGCAAAGAGATGTAACATCTCTGTGCAGTGCAAGTGAGTCAAGCCGATCGGAAAGAACTCGGTCGTCGACGATTCGAACCGCTCTGCGCTGGATGCGGTCAAGTGGAAGGAACTGGCACTGGGAAGCCCCTGTCCAGAGATGGGAACAGTATTCCATGTGGGGCCGAACCTGCGCCATGTAAAGTTGCAAGCGGTGTGCCGGCATGAAATACTGTCCCGCCCTGCTGAGCGCGCCAAGCTTCTTAGAGGCCAAACTTCTTTTCTTCCAAATGACCACGAAAGTGCACATCACTCGTAATGTCGACACCGAGGATTTCGATACTGGCTGAGGCAACAAGGGGAGTGCCTTGAAACTGAGGAGATACGACAAAGGGGTTCTTTTTAGCGGTAAACGCGCAAACTTGTGTCTTCTGGGGATTGAACTTTACTAGATTTAGTCGCCCCCAATCCGAAACTTTGTTCAGCAAAGACTCAAATTCAGACATGAGTTTGTCCCGGTACTTGGTGGCGTTTTCCCGAGTAATATTTGCACGGCCGGTATATAAGGCATCACCAGTGCTGTCCTCTGCATAGCAATGAATGTTACCAGTTTGCAACATATCATTGATATGCAGGAGAAACAGCGTTGGTGATAGCACGCAGCCTTGTGGAACACAAGCGTTGCTAGGCTTGTAATCAGAGCATGCACCGTCTACTACG